GACGTTTTATGACAATGACCGGTGGCTTTCAAATAAATTATTTTTATGACCAATATATCTTATGAGTTAAATTCAAAGAGAACTTAGTACACATATTATATATGAATATATGTTAATTTTTCAGTTAAGTCACTCTTCACAATCATTGAACAGTTGAAAGAATGAAAAATAAGCGTTAAATCAGGAAGATAATATCCTCTGCAAATCTTACATTTTCTTTTAACAATTGACCCTAACTCTCTTGGCTGTAAATGTAAAGGATCATTAAAATAGTTTCACAAGTCATGATTATTATAAGAATTGCTAAATACATACCCTAAAAATCCTCTACTGTGTCCGAAATGTTGCGTTGAGTTCACACCATTTCCACTATGCGTAACCGTCCCCTCTTTGCTCCCATCCATTATATCCAAATGAACAGAATCCCCATTCTTCATTTCTGACATTATTTTCTATTTTTGTAATCAGTGGTAAAACAATCCTTTGATGAAAAATTAGTAAACTGTAGTTACTCTTCAACAGTTACATCTGAGAACATCCTTTTTAAATAATATTTCCTCAAAATCCATGTAAAGAAATATTTAAAATTATATTACATATACTCAGTAACAGTGTACAAATATTTCACATAGCCGTGTTGTCTAAGATAAACGCCAATGAAGGGATCAATAATAACTTCTATAAACAAGCGTTCATTCAAACAAGCGTTCACTTTAAACAGTACTGATAAGAAGCTAACTAAATATAGTCACTGAGCAATCTGCACAAATAAGTAAAATTACGTTGTCTTGGACTATAGCAAGAACTACGTTTCCTTGCGACTTATATAGTCCCGGTAATGAAATATGGCCCGCCCTAAGAAATTTCTCTAGAATCGATTACCGTTTCCTATTTATAGTATCACAATATTCTATTATACCCCCGGCATGATGCGGCAAATAAAGATAAACTTACTATACTAGTATTTTGTTTCAAGTAACCTGGTAAGTCATTAAAATGGTAAGCCTAAAACGTTATCATCATGGGGCCATAAATATTCGCTCAAATATCATCCCGTCTTTTAACCTACAAGACTACATAGCGGTAAAATCCGTCCGAGTTTTAGCTGTTATCAAAATATAATATAGAGTGTTTGTAAATTTTTTAAAACGCTTGACATAGGAATGCAGGAGATAAAATTTTAAAGACGTGTTTTGGGGAAGTCCTTTTTGTTTTCATCGACGTGACTTGTTGGGGTTTTTCGTGCGGTGCGGAGATTATCCTAATAGAGGACTACGTGCATTGACACGTAACATTTTAAAATGTTATAGGTCTTAAAATGAAAAAAATATTTATCAACAATTTTAATAATTATTTGAGCAGTTCCATTTCTCTGTCTGTTTATGTATCACATTGGTAAGTTATAGCTTGAAAAAGTATGGTTGCAGATATATGCCATGTTGTCTTTTTGCTCCGTAGGACTCCAGGCAAAAACACGAAATAGGACAAAGTGGTTACTTTGTTGTATTTACGTGTTTTTTTTTCCTTTCGCTCTGCAGGGCGCCAGACGAAAACTCGAAATTTCGACAATGTGAGCATTTAATTTGCTGTACTTTCGCTCCGCGGGGCGCCAAACGAAAATACGACCACTTTGTAGAACTTTCGCTCTACAGAACACCAGTCGAAAACTTGAAAATTCGACAAACTTGTGACTTTGTTTTATTTTCGTGTTTTCTTCGAGGAAAATACGACATGGCGTAGATCAGCCAAAACGGCGCCAGGCTGATAGCCTCGTGGATACCTGTAGTAAATGCAAAATTGACGAAAATACAACAATGTAACAACTTTGTGCCACAAACAAATAACTAAATCATGCTGATGATTATATCTCGCGTGATTTATTTACTATAATTATACGTGAAGAAGTCACCTCAGAGGTGAACGATTAGTACCTCATGTGCATATCTTACGTACCGGGTTTTAATTATTAGTTGTTTTGTTTGAGATGCCCATCTTAAATATCTACTGATTTGTACGGTATATAAAAGATAAATGTTTGCCGTGCTGGGTCTTTTAAATCTTAAGATCAGATATTGTACAATTTTGTGAATTATATAACAATGTTATACAGGAAACGTGATAAATATATTATACAATGTAATTTAAGTTGTACTGAAATCGATGTTCTAGATTTTTATAGCAATTCAAAGCACTCCTTTTTAACTGTAACGAATATATAAGTAAATCACTACAAAACATATTCAACCTTTAACCTAATTGGCATCGGGCGTTCTTATTTAACTTTTAAATTTGCATTAATTCATGTAACATTCTTTAACTTCATTTGATTATTTTTAAACTGAGACTTAAAATGCGTTCCAACTAATAACTGCAGGCATGTGCGGTGTTTATTATTAAATTTAGTATGCCTTATCATGAAATACAATACTAGTACATAGTACAATATCTATTCGGACAAAATGGCGGCGCGCTTTAAAATAGAAAATTCTACCGTAAATTCTGTTGTCACTTATCAAGTTCTTGGCTATAGATGAACTTACAGTCAAACGACTCCAGATGGGGCGTTCAAGAGTTCAGAGTAATATGTGTCCATGTTGGCTGCAGTTTGTCCGAAGCTTTTTTTTCGCAAGAAACCACAGATCCTCATTAGTATCGATCTTTGAACATTTCTCGTATTTCATATAAGGCATATAAAGACTTTTTTCGCACGTGTTTTTTACAACATATAACAGTGAGTTTATATGAAGCGCAAATAATTATGATGAAAGTAATACATTTTAAAATTTTATAAGACATTTAAGGAATTAATATTTAGGATCACTTAAGATAACTCTGGACATAAGTACATTTTGATAAAATTGCAATTTTGAATTGCTTAAAAATCAAATCTTTATGCGAACTATTCTGAAGCATGGAATGAAATTAAAGTTTTTTGTAGATATGTGTCATTACTTCCCTTAATCCTCCCCATTCTCACCCGGCACACACGACATGTAGGCTATCCTCGTGTCTTGCACGCGACAGGTCAGGTCAAAATGTCTTTTGTTACAATGCCTTGGATAAAACTGTCGTTGTATCCTACCAACGAACGATGAGGTGGTATAGAAAGTCAGCAAAACAAAATTAATTGCTGCTGATGAGTGTACGAACACCGGACCAGCTGGACCGCATGGTTAAATCTGCCGGTCAGTATAATAAACCTAAACTACAAACGTCAAGAGTGTGGAACTTTTTGGACATATATGGTTATACATTAACATGAATCTGACAGAGTTATTACTGCAAACATTGTATTCTTAATTCGTTTACCCGAAAATAAGGGAAAGTAACGGTTGAAAATGCATGTATACATGTATATACGAGATTGGTTCAGTCCGGTTTTTTTTGTACGTGCATATACATAATTATTATATAGAATGTGTATGCATATCTACTCGGAAATGATATCTGAAGTAAGATGCTTTACAATGACTATGATGATTTCATACATGATAAAAATGTAACTGCGATTGGCTCTAACTTTGCACGCCCCCTCCGGGTTCGAGCGAACAAAGTTCGACTATATGTTTCTGTTATCAATTACAGCAAAAGTGGCAGAATTTCATGCACTAGGATTACCCATCAAAAATTGACAGAAGAATTTACGTTTTATTGTTAAAATTGAGAACGTACATGGTATTACTTTCGTACATCTGGATAAGTATTTTAAAGCAAATCATATTCATTTAGTTTAAAGTAGACTGATTCTAAAGATATGGCATCCAATCTTGAGTTTAACTTAATTTTGACAAGCAAAAATGTATGCAATAATCTTCCACATGGAGATTCCTGTAAGACGCTAAAGTGGATTTAATAAAGAAAGAAACAAGGTCGGTCATCGGCATGAATCTGATGGTGACTGACATCTTATACTAAAGACTTACTTTTTATTGCCATATCGTTGTCGTAGAATTTTCTACAACTCTTTTGCAAAACTTTATACCTTTCAGAATTTTAAATATACGTTCAATACCTGAAGATGACCCCTTAGATAAAGATAGTGCATACTATTTCATATTTTGCTGCAAATTATTTATATGTAATTTGTTTCGTCTACTGCAGACCGATGGCATAGTAACATGTACTTCTTGTTCTCTAAAAATGCCAGGAATAATGTATACATGAAGACACCATGCTTGAGTATAAATTCAAAGCGTATTTTATCCTGTAAGTCAATGCTCTAAATCATTTTTTTCCAGTCTGCGTTAGCCAAGAATGATAAAAAATGAAAGAAAAAAGCACAATAAAAGGAGTTAGAAAATATCTCTTGAACTCAAATTTAGTACACTTATAACCGACATTATATAACCAAAATTGTGTGCAGAGGATAATCGTAATATGTTTCATAATGATTTACACTCTTATTGAATAATAAACAAGAGGCAGTGAAAAAAGGACTATTAAGTGCTTTTTCTGACACATAATACAATACATTACTTAAGCAAGCTTAATCATCAAAGTTTAATTTAGAACCTCAAACTCTACCATTTCCGTCCTATCTTTTTACCTCTATGTTTTACCTTTGTCATGAAAGTCCATAATTTTACCAGGGTATGTTATTTATGTTTATCAAGATTTAAAGCCTGCATTGTAACCTTAAAGAAACATTCTTTTCTCTCTTTTTTGTCATTCTTTTGTTATTCTATTTTTGTTTCGTTTTTTAATTTAACTAGTGAATAATTCATTCAAATTTCATCATTGCGTAATTTTATACAGGACGCTGGAAATATTCATCATGCAGATGATACCTGATTATAAGTTTTAGTCGTATGTGAACGCTCGTAGACCGTTAAAAAGGTTCATCATGTGTGATAAATAACAGTTATTATTTGTAACAACTCTTTCAAAAATCGAGCGCAAGATTATGGAAACAATATAATTTTACTGTTGATAAATTTTATATAAATTTACATGTATATTTCCTAATATATAGCTTTATATCCTTAAAATGTAACAAAACCCTGTTTTAACGATTTTAATCGACGATTTCACAAGGGTGTAACATTTGAAAAGCAAACATGCATGAAATGTTCTAAACATATTTTTTTTGTCGTAACAATTTAATGATTCAATATAGAAAACGTAAATTATTGCGTAAATGAATGACTTGAGTGACAACGATTTCAACAAAGGGAGATCACTCAGTATTTGTCACAATTTCGGCTGCTGTATTGAGTACATACGTCATCGCTCGTTGTCTCTTTGTAACCCTGGGTAGCGTTCAGGCCAGCACCTGTAAATTGGGAAAAAAATACGAAAATAAGTTGAAAAAAATAGTTAAATTGCTACAAAAACAATCGCCATTAAAGTTAACCGATATCGTCATAGAATTTGAAATACAACGTTACGAAAATTAAGAATTAAAAAAGAATCTAATACTAGTACATTGTACATGCACTTATTTTAACGTAAATGTATAATATTAACAGATAGTTCTTTCATTTGGTGTATATCAATTTAACCTGTCGTAGGAAAATGCCAGATATCACTAAATCTAACACTTTTCTCATAGGCGACTTTAACGTATCATATGAAGAAGAAAAAAAATGACAAATTGCTATCTCATAATCTTATACATCAGTAAAACAGTTTTCGGGAGGCGTTAAGTACATATGTAAAGACAATGATATAGATAATATCTCACCGGTGAAAATATCATACCTGTAATGAGATTATTTAGATTACAATAGTTGGTGCTGTAGTCCAGGTACGCATACCAAGTTTCAGATGTTGAAAATCCCTGCAACATAAAAATAGATTTATATGGCTATTGTATCGCAGTTTTGCTACATTCTTTTTTTAAGATCATTATTTATGCAGAAAACGCAGAGGATAACGCTCTTTTACAAAAAACCATTGTCAGGAATGTGACGTCATTCCTCTTGTCATATCTCTTGTTTGCTAGATCATTTGGAACACCTTGCCCACAGCCTCCATGACGTTTGACGAAAAAAAAACGATATTAAGCGATTGACACTCTACAATATCTACGTTTCCTGTTATCTAATTATAACATCATAATGATGCAAAATGTATAAAAATATGATAATTCTTGGTTCGATTAAGTTTGTAAAATATAGAACATAATTATCTCATGCATTTATTCTTGAACCGACTATAGAACAACACTAAAAGTATTTGAATCAATAATCATATAAAACCATCGTGCAGGCGACATACAACAGGCATAAAACACTGGCTGCTGTACTTGAAGAATTTCAAAGGATCGTTTCACTGTGGAAAGCTGAAAACAAATGATTTATCAAGCACAAAAATATTTTGCGAACAATTGACATACTCAATAAATACAGAAAAAAAGTTTAACAGGCCAGTGATATTATTTCATAAAAAGGCACTTGGTGTCGGGAGAGACCCTTTTGACTGATCAGTAGAACCATGGAGCTTGGTAGAACTCAAATTTATCTAAATTTAACGATTTTTTTTTAAACAAAGAACGTTTTTTATACCTGTTATTTTCCCTTGTTTCTATTTAAACACTGTTAACAAGGAAAAAACGACGGGTATAAATAACAATCGTTTTATTCGGATAATTTGAGATCTACTGATTAGTCGAATGATAGATTACTTACGTCTACGTCACATCCGCTTCCGGAAGATTTCATTGTGAATGTGAGATCATCGACATAGTGCTTTACGGGTGTCTGATGTGTTGCCTTGATTATAGAGACACTTTGTGTTGTAACCTGTAAGGAAAGGACATACATTAAGTATTGTAAAACTCATTCCTTTTCATAAGAATTAAGCTTAAATCAAGTCAACTTCTTTCAGGACTTTTAGGACTGGTGTTTTTTTTTTACAGGAAACGCGCATGCTACCGATATGTACGGGGCTCGAAAGAATGATCACCATAAAGATCTGAGCGTGAATAAGTCTAGTTCTGGCTTCCAACAGTTTATAAGCCGCTTTTTAAACATTTTTTTCTTTCCTCTGATGCGGCATTAAATCATGTCATAGTACATAAACGGGTACGCTGAAGAAAGCAGCATGCCAAAATTATCAAAAAAGAGGTCAAAACATACATAAATACCTCTTACTGCGTTAGTAACGCAGTATAATTATAGTGATTGATACTGTAAAATCAGTCATTAATCGCACATTACATGTAAATAATTAATCAAATATGAATCATTTTACTTTTCGTGAGATCTTAAGACATTTTTCTAAAGATTGAATTTCTTGAAGTATTTGGCTCATCTGGAGGCGTGCAGCTTTAAGCTAGAATAAGTTAAAAAGTTTCGAGAAATTAAAGTTTTACCTTATATAAGCACTTTTCGCCGCCATTCGCACAATTGTCTGCAGATTCCCATTTCTGAATTTGAGAAACTATGCTCTTATTGAAACTTGCACATGAAACCGAGGGAAAGTTCCTGAAATATATGGCATTTTTCATGTATATTTACGGAAGCTATTGCGGGTCATTTCAATGTAACATAGGCAACAATCGGAACTTCTCGGCTATTGTCAAAAAGCTCCGAAGTTTGACGTAAAGAGCCCAATCGGGACATCCTCGTCTATTATCTATAATAACGTCCTTATCCAAAGACTACGGAAAGGGTCGAAAAGTTGCGATTGGTAAAGGGCCCAGCTGAATTAGTTTAGCTGCATGCTCGTATTTGAGGGACTTAAATTGTTCTATTTTATAGGTTTACAGACATCAAATATAGCAGAGTGTAATAGTTCTCCGCATTCTTTTGCTATAATATAACGGCATTCTAAAACATTTTTCATCATTTTCACTGCCTTTTAATGAATGCTTAATATTTTTGACTTTCTAAAACCGGTCAATATTGCCCTGTGATGCTTATTCATACTGGACAGATAATTGATAATCATTTTTTTAAATATAATGTTTTCATGTCCTTTCAAGATTTTTGTGTATTTAAGATTCTGATGAAGTTTTATCCCCCAGTACACTGGCTTTCAAGCATGTTCTAACTGCTCCATGTGTAGGGTCACGTGTTCGTAAATAAGTAATCATGTAATATGACTGTGCTATATTACTTAATTATTATAAAAATATCTTAAGCATTATGTAAATTCGCCACTCACCATTGTATTTTACAAGAAGCATGTATGGGGTATCCGTTAACAAGGTACACCGAGAGAACCCCTGCCAGAATAAGCGAGACGAAAATAAATCGACACTCCATTTTCTATTATTGTTGTGGTAATGTCCAGTGGTTATGTATCTATACTTTATCTACATGTATCATGTGATAGTATTATTGTCATACCATCATGTTCTAAATTATAACATGTGATCTAAACAGCTGCTTGTGAGGACGTGTAACCTGGTGTCAAATTCAAACTTTATCAACGTTCAAGTGGCAAGCATGAGATTTCCAAACCTTACTGATGCACTCTTTGTTAATAAATCATTACTTCAAAAATATTCTTGCAAGTTAAAATTTTAAAGTTATTCGACAAATTGTTCATACTTAAAAAAATACTGATCATAAAATACAAAGACTGAATTAAAACACAAATAAAAACTTTTTATACCGTTTCACCTCCCATGCCTTCTGTCATTTTGATTGCTTAGGTGAGCGTGATTTTGATTGGCATGCATATCAATAATCGACCGGTGGTCAGTAAATCATTTGATGACCACGGTATATTTTTCTCACGTAACTAAAGGAACTTTCTAGAGTTTCACTTTCTTTAAAGCATTTCATGGCGAAAAAAATATTGCACTTTAATATTGCTAAATGTTTACCTAGAATCTCCAAGTTCAATCTTAAACGCGATTGAAATCGGCAAAAGTTGATAGTAATTTCACATTTCAATGTCTATAAAACGTATTATACACTTTGATATATATTTCGTTTGTATTTTCAAAACAGGATATAAAATGGATTTTATTATGAATATGATAACTTTATGTGATAAATATATGTTTATAATTTATTTGGGTTCTAATGCGTTTTGAAACTACACACCCAAAATTTAATGGGCTGAGATTGACAAATATATGTACATTTAATAATTTATTTGCATTTTAATTCGTTTGAAACTATTCCAATAAAATTTTTGTGCTCAGAACAGCTTTTACCCACGCATATACAAGTACATATATAAGTAATTTAGTTGACTGAAAACACCCATTATGTAACAAAAATGCTTTTATTTTTTTCTAAAAGCTTTTTTTCTGGTGTACTTTTTTAGTTTCCATAGAGGATAATGAGTATTGTAGGTTCAATAATTATGAATAAAATTATATTATACGAGCCCCTGGCTCAATATTATTTAAGGGATATTCTAAAATTAATTGTGATAGACATGTTACAATAATAGTATAACCGAAATACACTTTATTTTCTAGCAGATTTCCTAGGATTTTAAGCCCCAAAGGATTTCCAAAGACAAATAATACGGCATTTTCTGCCCAGTAAGGACTGTGTATCATTGTGAAAAGATAACTCTCCTTGAATTTAACTCCTGGTTGCGTGATAGGTAAAACAACTTTAAATCCGTATTGTTTCCGCGATGATTATTGTGAAATGGCGAAGAGTTCCGAATGACGACATTTAAAACTATTATGACACGGAATTTGACGAATTTTGTCGATTTTCACGATGATCGACATCTCTGGGTCCTAAGTAGATCTATTGTATCATGCAATATACTTCGTGTTTTTTTTAGTTTTGTTTGCATTTGTTTTATATGCATACAGTGGATGCCAACAAATGCAAAGTGCATCGACAGTTTCTTTTCCCTACCAAACAGTCCAACTGATTTCAGTAATACAAGTCTATCAAAGCTACACCAGGATCACTCATATAAGCGCTTGAATGAGTTTTGTCAACGAATATGTTCACTGTATAGATATCAGATAAGAAATTAAATGCTATAAATGACCCAATACTGCACAGCTTTTATTTCAATGACGTCACGATTTCAACTTTGGAACAAGCAGCTACTGACCAGATAGGTGGTCCCGACAGCCGAACTATCGATAAACGCCATTATTATGACATACAGGAGGGTCAAAATGGCCCAGAATCGCTCACCTGAGAGAAATTGATAGAAAATGTCACAATTCTTCAATGCAATCTTCAGAAAAACTAATATTGTCACATGTTGTCAAAGTGCTACTGAAAAATATCTGAAATTTCAAAAGGGGGCCATGATTGCCAGACACAATTGTTTTTCAGTGTTGTTAATAATTTTTCAAATGAACTTGCCGAAAGGCAAATCCAGCTCAACTTCATCTTGCTCCTCTAGCTACATAGTTTCACGACACTGATTTTTTTATAATTGAATAGGAACCTTTCACAAATGGCCCAAGTAAAGCATGTCAACTCTCATTTTCGAGCCCTTTTTGCTTATAAACGACTACCTAAGAATGCTACAATCATCCATTTATCAATTCAGTAGAAAAAGATGTTTATAGGTTTTTCTAATTTTAGCTGTAGAAGCCCATAAAAGGAACCAATCAAATTAATATAAAAAACTTCCTTAGAATGCTACAGACAAAGTTTGGTGATCATCCATCAGTTTGTTCAGGTGAAGATGTCTAAAGGTTCTCTATTTCTAAGAATGCTACAGACAAATTTTGGTGATCATCCATCAGTTATTTCAGTAGATGTTTCACGGTTTTTTTCTAATATTAGCTCTAGACCATCCATCAATTAGTTCAGGAGAAGATAAGGTTTTTCTATTTTTAGCTATGTTGATCTCTAAAAGGGGCTAATTGAAACGATATGAGCAAATGTAAGTGAAACTGTCACAAGGATGCTACCGACCAAATTTGAAGAAAATCTGCCCAGCAGTTTCAGAGAAGATGAATGTTGATGCATGATGCCGGAGTATCCCCCTTTGATACTTATAGCTTACCCTGAACCTTCGGTAATGGCACGGATTTATATTAATGTAATATAAATCCGTGGTAATGGTGAGCTAAAAAAGACTCGAGTCAAAAATACCTTTTTACAATGTAAGTTAATCTAAATTAAGTGATCCCTTAGGGTTGGGCAACTTTTGACCCCAGGGACATGATTTAATAATTCTTTCTTATGTAAACTAGAAATGTGTCCATAGGACACAGGTGCCCCCACATTCCACCGATTTGTCAATCTTATGTCTCTAGGTCAAATTTTTTTTTTGGCTTCATATGCCCAAGTTGAAAACTAAAAATATTTTATTAAGTAAAGGGCAAATACTACAAATACTGAATATAGCCACTAGAAAAACCCCAAGGTGCATAAGAACACATGCTGACCAACATTTTTGTAAACTTTCAGGCCTACAGGTCATAAACTTTTTGAGTTACGTGCAACACAAGTTAAATATTGTAAATTTTTAATAAGTCAAGGGCAATAACTCTAAAAATACTGAAAATATCCAGACGAAAATACCCAGGTACACAACTACACATGCTGAGCAACATTCCTGTAAGGTTTATGACTGTAGGTCAAATACTTTTTTAGTTACGTGCGACACAAGTTAAAAATTGGAAATTTTTACTAATTCAAGGACAATAACTCTAAAAATACTAAAACATATCCACACAAACATACCCAGGTGCACAACTACACATGCTGATCAACATTCCAGTAAGGTTTCATCACTCTAGGTCAAATATTTTTTGAGTTACATGCGACACAAGTTGAAAATTGCAAATTTTTACTAAGTCAAGGGCAATAACTCTAAAAATACTAAATATATCCACATGAAAATACCCAGGTGCACAACTTCACATGCTGATCAACATTCCTGTAAGGTTTCATGACTCTAGGTCAATTACTTTTTGAGCTACGTGCGACACAAAAATGGAACGGACGGACGGATGGACGGACATACTCACAAAATGGTACTTATGTGACTTTTCCTTTGATCTTTTTGGCCATTTTTAGTCACACAAGGCTTAAAGAAAGACACACAAGTAAAAACGGAATAAATAGGATCAAAGAGAATTTACTGTTACCCATTGTTCTCCAAGTCACACAAGTACCTCTGGGTTTGTACGGATGGACGGACATTCTTACCAGAGCTACATTATGGGGTTTTCTTTTGTTATTTCTTTTGTTCTGTTTAACCCAACAATGCAGAAAATAACCCCACAAGACAAACGGAATGAATGACATCAAAGACATCTATTGTTATGAGAACAATAGACCAAACCCCATAATGTAGCTCTGGTTTGTACGGATGGACAGACGGACAAGGGTAAATCTAAATCCCCCCCCCCCCCCAAATAGTGGGGGCAAAAAAAAAGAATTTGATATTTCACCTTGATAAGCTGTTTATATTGATGTTTTCATATTTTGTCAGTTATATGCTGTAGAATATGGACCCCAAAATGGGTGGACAATAAGATAACGTTACGCTAATCTCAAGTCAAGTTTTACGTCCATTATATTCTATCCTGGAATCATAAAAAAGTTGAAAATATAATCCAATAAAATAAATAAGACTAGAATTATAAATTACTTGGTCAGGAAATTTTATTTCACAAGCAATTAAATGAAAAATAACGCATATTACATGTACAAATGTAATTTCTATAACTGGTTTCAATGAAGAAAGACTTAGCTTGTATATTTGTTAGTCTTCTTGCAAGTTGTCCGTAATTTTAGTTGAGCTTTTACATGAAAACTGCTAAATTACAAAAAAAATACTGTTGCTATGTATGCTCATGTGCATTGTCGAGTTGAGGTCATAAGTGACTTTTCAGCTTTACTTATTCAAGAAAAAATTAACATGCATGTGCACCTTAGTTGAACCATCAGACAGTTATATTCCCTATGAAGATATAAACTTCAAAAGTCGGCAACCTTACCCACTAACCTTACATTCTCAATGACATTACTCACTCTCGCAGAGACTTAACCACTCCCACTCCACTCTCACTGGTCAAAGCCACTCCCACTCCACTCTCACTGGTCTAAACCACTCCCACTTCACTCTCATTGGTCTAAGCCACTCCTACTAACCTAAACCACTCTCACTTATCTTCCACTCCCACACCACTTCCACTGATCTTAACCACTCCCACTGATCTTAACCACTCCTTCTCACTCACATTGAATTTTTACCACATTGTGTAACTGTTTTCCCCAACTTTGTAACTTTTATTTATACTATGTATATAATATAGTATTGCTTCAAAATGATGTATCCACTTACTTTTAACAATCATTTGGTTTCTCTATACTAATGGAAATATCAAGGTATGCAGGTTTTGATCATGGTTATAACAAATGAAAGAAGTTGAAAAAAATAATAAATGTTTTGTCACAAGCCTAAGGACATTTTATGATTCTAAAAATATCAAAACTATTTTTCATATTTCTTAACCCATAACCATCTAAAACTGAAAGTGATTGGCCTTTGTAACCAGTAAAGAGCCAGGTCAGACTACACATCTGATCAGACAATAAACTGACCATAGCTCCATTTTTGTATTCTGATATCTAAACTGTATTTTTGTATTTGATATTGAAATTCCTTTTATTTCATACATGTTGTTCTTAATTTAAAGCTGGACAAATCCCTTACAAATATTCAGCAGGATAAGGGTTAAATGAACACAATTTGTACATCAACAAAACATGATTTGTTTCAATTGAAAAGAATAATAATATCATAACATTCAAGGCAACTGCTCTACTGTTAAAACATTAAAAATAATATATTCAAGATCTTATTTTTTACAACAGATATATTAATTACCCTATCTTAATCCATCAGGTACATGTGTACAGGTGATAGCAGTTTTGAAGCTTACAAAAGCATTTTCATAATAACCCTTACTAAAACTTCAATTTATTTTGTAGAAGATGTATTTTCAATACAAAATAAACCAAAATAAACCTTCAACAAATAATAAAGGTCAAAAGGGAAATCAGAGCTGTGGCCCTTAACCTAATTAGTAAGAAGGTACAGGCTTGTAAGAAATGTTTTCCCACAGCAAATAAATATTTCTGATTTCTGAAAAATGGAAATATGTCATCTGTCAAGTAATAACAGAATTCACGAAGTCTAAACTTAAATTGTAATATCCTAAATTTAACAATAACACTTTTAAGCTATATTACTGTGGGTAAAAAAAAATAAAATAAAAAAAAAATAACAACAAGAAAGTAACGAAACAATAAAATACAATGATTGTCATTTAAGATGTACACAGTAGCTTGATTTTGCTTTACCTTGCACACAAACACTATCTCAGTATCTGCTAGGCATACCATGTGTGTATCCAACAAGGTTTGAAAATATCATAAACAGCATTAACTAGAGCAGACAACTCCTGTTGATATTCTATATTTCTCCATGGAACTTTCATGGGATAAACAACACTCATGCTGACTCATGCAAAGCAGGAACATGTCCCAATGCTTCTTTAATCAAATATCAACTTCTTCCTAAACAGTTAAAAAATCTGCAAAATTTTGTTCACAAAAAAAATGCAACATCTCTAATAATGCAGGAAATTTAAATTTTCTGAACTCTCACCTTTGCATACATATGTAATGCCTGATAATTAGAAGAAAAAAATGCCTGACAGTACAGTGTTGGTGTCATATAAAGAAACATGGTTGTGACCAAAGCAGGGCTCCAACCCATGACCCCTGGGTTGACAGTCAGACCATTATAGTCCTAAAATTAAAAAAAAAAAAAAATGTTCAATATAACATGGTTTAGTTATACACTCTAAAAAGTCAAGTGTTTTCTTTAACAATGGTAAACCAGTACAGAAATGAGGACATGTCCCTAGTAGTGAAATTATATATCTAGCAATCTATCATTCAAGTCTGACCGGGAACAAATCCTTTGAAAAATGTTTAACATGCTTTCATATCAATACAGCTTGGTTTTTAACGCAAACAAAATGCCCTTTAAAATCATCAAGAAATGAGTGTAAATGATCTCCCTACACGGTTAAATAGATTATTTTAGCTGCCAAATTTGAAGAGTATATGGTTGCTCCAGACAGATATTCCTGCCTTTAAAAATGGAGAGTATTCACACTGTTCATACAGGAATATTCTAACCTCCAAAGTTGAAGAGTAGTTTGTCTCTAAGGATAGTCACTGAATAGTTTGTCTCTCTTAAGATATTCATTATCATTCAAGTGGGAGATGAACAGTTTCATTTTGACAGAAACATTTTTTAGCCTCCTACACAGGAGTGTCTAGTGATGAGCACTATTTTCAATCTCCCCAGAGGGAGAGTAATGGTTTTGAGCAGACTATGGAAGACAGTTGTGTGATCTCATCTAGATGGACTAGAGGCAAGGCTGCAAGCACGGCTGGCACTCGCTCATGGTGCAGGTGCTCTAATACTGCATGAAATCCTGGTCGCTGACTCTCAAACCTGTGTAAATATACAGCAAAAATATATGAAATTAAAAAAATACTTAAGTAACATATAAACAACAAGGGTTATGTGGCAACGAATGTGGCTAATTCTAGTTTTTCAGCGAAACAGGGGTAAAATTTATATTTCGGAGGCTTTATCACATACCCGTGATGCGACTATAAAAATAGTATTACACAGCCTTGTATATATATTTTGACATGAGGTCATTTTGCATAATACAAACATAGCATAATGACACACAAAATATTTGCTTTATACTTTAAACACATCAATGAAACAGGAACTGTCATCAGGACAGCATGCTCCACTATTCTCAAGTTCAAAAAGGGCAATAACTCTGTCAAAATGTACATTAGGGTTATGGGCCTTAGAGAATGACCTATTCTGTTTTCAAATAAGTGTTTGAAATTCCAACCCATTCTTTTTAATAAATCTAACGATAATCAACTTGCATGCAAAAACTTGACCGAAGTGTGACACTGATGCCAATACCTGATGAGTACAATAACTCTCCATATTCTTTGAATAGTCAAGGTTTAAAATGATTCTTTTTTACCATTAACAGTTATTCTTATATATATGTGATAAATAGAAAATCATATTCGTGCAGTTTCATTATCAAATTTATTGAACTCCTAGAAAATGCATTGAACTCTTAGAATAAAATGGTATTATTGTTTGCCAGAGTCTCACGTGATATAATTTGAATCAACTTGTTCCAATAATTTAGTATTTAAACTACACTCATTAAATATCCTCTATTTATTTGACAATAGTCCAAAAATAAATCTTTAAAAGAACTTACCTCTTTTGTAAAACTGCTTGATAACGGTCACAATCTTTTAAAGTGGTGTCCGTAAATAACTGTATTACATAAACATTGGTTGCCTGAAATATAATTATTTATATGGTACTGTATAATAAATCAACATTAATTATTATATATCCCTCAGTTTTCTGAAAAAGAATAAGATTATTTTCTACTGAAGAAATATATTTTTCTTACTTTTCACATACAGTGTAACTTCTGAATTCCGAAACTTCTTAAATCCCGAAACTTCTGAAATCCGAACATTTTTCAGACTCACAAAATTTCTCCTTATGTTTTCTATGTAATAAATACCACTGAATTCCGGAAACTTCCAAATTCTGAACTTTTTGCCTAGTCCCACAGATGTTCGGTTTTCAGAAGTTACACTGTAGTACATATTACCTCCCCTGACGGCCATTTTGAGGGTCAACTCCAATATATCTTAAAGTGTAGTATATTGAGCTATATATCTGCTGTGTTGGAATTTTAAAATGAACAAACCTTAAAAATTTATTGTATTAAAGAAATAACAACAAATTTTGTCTGCTGTAGGATTATTTTCCCAAGAAAATGTTCTTTGTAACAAAACTATGAAATTTCATGCCCACCAAATTAAGTGAATTCAAAGTAGATGTTTGTTCATACCGCTCTTAGTTTTTTTTGCACTCAGCTGACTTATCAGAATAAAATATCTAAGTTCTAAATCAATCAGCAAATGTGTGAGCAAATCTAAAATCTGCAAGGGGTCATACTTTAATGAAATTAAATAAATTACAGATGATAATCTTGAAACATCGATGAAAAATAAATCAATAATCTTCTGTTTATTTTACAGTATACATTGTAATTACACTGTATGTATTTAACGTCTGTTGCCTAGTTATTTATTTATTTTATCAAACATGTGTTGCCATGAAATCTATTTCTAATAGCACATGTTTTTAATAATGTATCAGTAACATTCTCTATACATTGACTTAAATACACAATATTCATGATAATAAAAAGGGAAGAAAACATATATCTTTTCATGTTATTTATAAAATGTCAGAGTAAAACATACTTCATTTTTCTGATTATTAACTACTAAATAATATTTACTTTTTCTAGTCATACTGTCTCAAAAATAACACAAACTGTCCGAGGAGCTTGGAGAGCACTCCATTTTTCTCAGTACTGGATAGAATGATATAAGTAGAAAAAGGAGCATCTTTCTGAGTAACTGTTCGGCAGAATTACATGCCCTTGATATTTAATAGGTATTTCAAGCCTTAAGTGAATATCTGCAATGGTTTTAAACAAAATTAGGGAAAAAATTAGAGGAAAATAAAGCAAGCAAAATATTTACCTTTGTAAGGAAATTTTCTAATGGTTTTGGTTCAAATCTTGAGTTCTTGGACACGATGACAAGGCGTTGTAGCTGTTCACAGCCCAGACATGACTGATAAAAACTGTCATCTAATTTCATCCAAGGCTGTTCTATTCTATTACATGTAGAGAATTTGATGATAACTTATTACTGTATGTCAATATCTTTCATAAAATATACATACGAACTTTCAAATATTCAAAAAAAAAATTGTTTCTTTTTGTTATATTTTTATTGCCATGAAATCAGAACTATGCAATAATGATAAAAATTACCACTTTTAAAAAAAGTTTAAAATGAACATTTTAGTAAGATTTGTTCAAAGCAGAACCACTTATCTGAAAAGCCTCCCCTCATGAAATACAAGGGTACCACATTTCATTTCATAGGGATTTAAACCTGTGACCAAAGAGACTATATAATGATCAGTGTCCTGAACCACTAGGCCATTGATAAACCTCTATATACATATATATATGTATTTATGATGGAAAATCAGAAAACAAATCTAAAATTGTAAACATTACCTGAGATCTAATAAATTTTTGAAGAACTTGAGAGAGTCCCAAATCCCAGGAATCTGAGGTCCGAGACCGATGTAGGCCAGCCATAGGGTGTCTAGCTGAACACATTTGGTGGCAATCTCTTTTAAGAATTTACCATTTGAGATACCTGTCAAATGAATACAAAAAAACTTGTTTACAAGTATAGTATATAGTCATTTGATTTGTTCTTTAATTATTTTTTTCAATTAAACTTGTTAATTTGTTTTCTTGAAAGAAAAAAGTTAATTATTAATTTTAAAAATTTCATTGTTTACAATATTTTGTCAATAAAAATCACAGATTTGATTGCTTTGTTGATTTCTTTGCAGACTGCTATTTTTTCTTTGTTTATCTGATTTTTATGCCAATTTCTACTCCCTTTTGGAAATATTTTAGCAGTCTGTCCACCTTACTGGTTTTTCTGAATAACAATAGTAAAAGTAATTAAATGTACAATTTTAGATGCAAGTGACCCACTACTAATTTCGCACAAGTTCTGAAATAGCTGTGAAAAATAAATGACTATTAAATAATAGACCTGATGTCCAAAATTAAATGTCATGAATATAAATTTTCCTCATCCAAGGATGGAACTAGTGACCCCTTGGTTACAAATCAAATGCTCTCAATATTGAGCTAAACAGGCAGATTTTGAATTCAATACTGCTGAGTATTTGTCTAAATAACAATTTAACTTTAATCAACATATTCAACCTGTAAAATTATTCAAGATTATCCATATACAATCTAGATTTCCTTTCTGTCAGGTCACATTTGTAAATAAATATGGCAAAATATTACCAGTTAAAATAAAGAAAACAGAGTGCACTTACCTGGTAGCCCTGTCAACTGAAGGTATCGCAGATTTGTTAGATAAGATATTCCACTAAGGTCATTTTCCCTTAACATATGGGAAATTTTACTGAAAAGTTTAACATAAACCAATAAAATTTTATGCAAACTTTTTAAAAGTTCTTTACGAATTAAATAAACAATGTACATGTATGTGGTATTCTTAACCCTTAGCCAGCTGGGGACAACTTATTCTACTCTCCTTTGCCATTGATCACGGTATCAACTGTTTGCTATTCAGTCAGATTACATATTGACGTATTCCCTAAAAACTGTTAAACATGATCCAGATTAAAAGATGGACAAGATTAAAAGATGGACAAGATAATTACCTAACTTAAGGAAAATGCAATTTAAATAAGTGTTCAAAATACTAAACCCACAGTGAAGTTACAAAATAAATCTTTTTAAAGTATAAGGCATTTGCTATCCCACGTCATTAATCTATAGGAATACATATATAGTGGATATAAATATTTAATAAACTAAGGTCACTTACCAAGGGTCATACACAGACTTATGACTAGAGTGTATAACACTTTGATTGAAGCCAGTATTTATCAGCTCAAGGGAAGTAACTCTTGGACAAGCTTTGCAAAGGCGGGATAACTCTGTAGAAGTGGGAGCATTACTATCAGGACCCTCAGATGTAGATGTAGATGGTTGAGGCTGAAAGAAAAAAACATGCATCAGTCATCCTTGTAAAAATCTTACACATGTAGTAAAATTATATAGTTCCCTTGCATGTTGTACAATACCACAACAATGGGCTACTGATTTCACTTAATTAAAGACAGCAAACTTAATCACTCTGCCAGGGGCCCCAAAACTCATGCAATGGTCTTATAATTCTTTAAATATTATCTGTGACAAACTACGGTATGCCAGACAAGGGAAGATTTTCTCACTGAATTTCTTAAAATGGACTTGACCAGCTTCAATATTTTAAAATGACCATTATCAGTTTTGGGGAAATTTCTAATTGGTCAGCAAACATTTATAAAACCTGCACAGATTACACTTATATACATAATACAGACTAGCCTGGCTCTATACCGTTGGAAAAGGTTATTCATATTTGGTGGTGCCTGTATGATAAGGGTAAAATATCGTTGGGCGAGAGGTAAAGCTACCTGACTTAATCATTTACCATTTACTGCTCCAAACAGGAAATTCAATTCCTTTACAATAAATTTTAGAACTGACAAAACAAGCACACAAAAATTGACTGATTATGAACACCTTCACAGTGTTTCTTCCAGAGCGCGTTTTTGACACATTTTTTACGGCCTTGACGCAATGAGACTCAATTTGTGCGTTTCCAGTGACACAGTTATTTATTCTCCATTAATTTACAGTAAATCTCAAATTATGACAATTTCAAATCCATTGCAAACTATTTAACAAATTAAAATACAAATCATGCACTGCTTTGATTTTACGACTTAATACCTTTCAATTTAATTGTCCATTAATCAGACAAAAATTCCCTTTCATGCATCCAAGAGGACAATATAATTATATCCAATTATTGTCCACTTTTCTATCAATTAATTATCCAATTTTCAAAACAAACTTGTATGTACTACACAACTCTCAACTGTTACACATTTTACCTGTATACAGTACTGCTAGTGACATAGCTAAACGACCAAATATGGAAAGGATGATGCAATTGTGTAAACCACTGCCTTGCTGATAAAAATTTAAGTTGTAATACATATATTAAGCTGCATGAATTACAGTAGCTAACTGGGGGTAATTAAATTCATTAAAGAATTTTTTTCTTCTGTTTATAGAGATTCTTCAAATTATTTTTATGCAACATTTTCTTTTCTATTCATCTATTATTTTTCAATGGCTGAATGAATTATAGGAAAGAGGCTAATAAATTAGTGGTTCCAGTTCTTTTATGTACTTCTTGGTTAATAAAATATATCGTTTGGCATGACCCTCAAAAATTTCAAGTGACCCCTAAAATCTGATACAGGGGGTCAAAAATGACCGCCCAAAAATTGGAGCTGGAAGAAACACTGCCTTCAACCTCTGCAGCACAACACTCTAAGAAAAATAAAGTGATTGGTTGCTGCTGAGAAATGCTGTTCTTGAGAGAGGTTTAATTTATTATGAATATTTACTTCGGGAAGAAATAATACGGTTGTTGTGAAGAGGTAATTGCTCTACAAAGGGCCACTCTGTTGAGGTTATACTGTAAATGAATGTTCCCCTTTAAATTTTTAAGTAACCTATGAAAAACTGGAAAGTGATAAGCAAGTGATAAGCACTCCTATGTAAATTTTAACACATTTTGTTTAAAATGTTTTGGCAAAACTAGCCAGCAATAAAAATTCTTCCGTTGTGAGTTATTTTGCCAGCTCACAGATGTTTACGTAAACCACTGATGTAGCAAAAATAATATGTACATATTGTAACCTTAGTGCAGTAACAATTTAACTCCTAAAACATTATATTAGGAGTTAACCCGTTACTGCACTAAGGTGTGATAATAATTATATCTACATGTATACCTGTCTAGCAATCCTCTGTCTCTTTCCCAGTCCTTTACTGATGAACCCTTTTGTGGACTTCCCTTTTTCTTTTGTGTTTACCAAACAACATACTGACAGAGCAAGACTTTTGAAGGCTAAAACAAATTTAAAACTTTTATTTATGTTTGATTACGACCATAAGTGAGTCTTGTTACTCAATTAACAAGAGAAGTGTTGGCCTAAGATGTGCAAGTTCAAGACCTATGTGTAGCTCAAGTTGTATCATATACAAGCCTTAATAAAGTGTGAGTCAACAATCATCACAGGTTTTTAGAAGTTTAAAGATTAAAATGGGAATTTGGGAAATTCCATATATTGGGTCTCTCTTTCAAAAGTCACTGACATGATTTCGCCTTTAACTCACCTGCTATATTTGCTCACGCACAAGTTTGGCAATCACTAATAACAAGTAACAGCTGATTGTGTTCTGCTATAGTATACAAGAAAACAATGTACAACGAGCACCAGTAGAAATCTCATTAAAATACTGTTACAGCATGTGATTCAGACTGGTCTTGACCTATGCTGGTTGTATAAGTGATTAAGGCTTGCCTGACAAGGAATCCATGCTGGCCTGAAGTCATACTTTGATACAAGTGATTAAGGCTAGCCTGAACCTTGCTGGCCACAGTGATCATTCATTACCAGTGATTATAGAGATAGTTATTTACCTGAGATATCATGCTGGGTAAGTATATCCACTAAAGTCTTGTCCGACTCATTTTCATGTACATGTACACCGGAGATATTGAGATGTTGTAGATGGACACAGTTTTTCAAAACGAGGTCAAGGCCCTCCAACTCTTCCTGAATACAAAAACGGATATTATACAAAAATCATAGTAGACAGTAAATAGTTACTGTAAAGAAATGTTTAAAAGTGAATAAGGTAATTAAGACAAGTGATTTTTTTCTATATTTTAAAGCCGAATAAAGGCAGTTTCCCTTAATAGCCGAATATAGGTATACTTTCACCCAAAAATGCTATATTTTCACCTGAAATGCCACTGTAAACACAATGTTTTATCAGCTTGTTGATAATTTTGACCGAAGACAAGCTTTCAGTATAGATAGCCTCTGCTACATGTATGTACCATGCGTTTTAAAATGGAATTGGAAATTTTTATAAAGCGTGTGGGTTAATTTCAATTTCAGGTTGGAATCTGATTTCAGATGCTATATTTACCACTTCAGAAAGACACAAGTTGTTAAAAAATTGAAAACAAAATCACTGGTTGCATTCAGTTTCTTAACCATATTTAAGGTAGCAGAAATGTGATCCTGTTATTTTTCACCTTGTATGTAAACAGTAAATCAAATTATAAACCATCTTACCTTTTGCCAATACCTGCAGCCAGATGTAGCACCTTTTAGATTAAGACTGACTAGGTTTGAACAATTGCTGGCACTGATGAGGAGCCCAAGGCACCGACTCTCTGACCTGATATCAGCCAGGTTCAAGTGTTTCAAGCACGGAGCATCTTCTATAGTAATGGACGCCTCTAGCTCGTCAATCAGCACCTTAGACAAATCAAGATTCTGTAATGTCGGGCATGACTCTTTGAGAGAACGAATAAAGTATGAACGTTTAACTGCTTGTTTTAAATCCAATCCTGACACTGATAAGTTTGTAAAGTGAATACCTGGCTCATCAAATGCTTTGACTAGAATTCCGAAAAAATAAAGTCTTGAAGTGGCATCATTTGTACAGTTGATTGACATTGTTTTTAAACTTTTTAAATGCTCTCTTTTGACAATCAGTGAATGAACCAGCCTTTTTGATAACTTCTGACTTAGTCCTGGAGTTCCTATGACACAGAATGATTCTAGATCAGGACAGTATTCTATCACAGTAGTTTGCTGACTTAGATGGAACTGTAATGAATTCTGTTTGTTTCCATTCAACTCCTCTCGTATATGTAACCCAAAGTGTTTTAAATGCTTCAAAGAGGACTGGACCTCCTGATTTCCATTGATTATATTTGAAAATTCTATTAAGTTATAAACAGAGAACACAATTGACTTGAGGCACTCTATTGAGCATATGATTTTGGTTAGGGCTTTAGAAGTGAGTTTACAATCCAGAAGAAAAAGCTCTTGAATTTTCTTGCATCTAGGTATGAATGCAGATAGTGTAGATGATGAGAGCCAGTAACAGTGGTTCAAATTCAGTCTCTCAATGTATCTATTGCCAGCACGGATATAGTCCTCCAGCTCTCTATCTGACATTCCATAGGCACAGGCTAAATCTGAATACCTGCAAGAAAAAATACATTAATACATAAATAGAGCTTTCTGGTAAAAGTCAAATCATACAAATGTGACACTCTAGCTGATTATAAACATTGATAAGTCTGAAGGTACTAAAAATGGTACAGGATACTTTGGTTAACAAATTTTTACTTTGATAGAGCACATTTTGTACATTTGATCTTATGACTGAAAATACTGGTATTCCAGAATTATATCGTGATATATTTTCATCATGAATTATAACGAAATAAATCCTACATTACTATGTGACATCAGGGTTTTCATTTTTATCTGAGGCAACAGATGCTCCAAAGAAAACAACCGATTTTGCCATTAAGGGTCAAGGGTGATACTTTAATATACAGAATGAAAATACAACTGATTTTATCAGCATTTTAACCAATGGTTTGGATTGCCAATCGGTTAATAATAAAAACCCTATAGATAACATATTAATCAAGTGCCATTGATAAAGCTTTACTTTCAAGGTCTATAAATATGAGAAAAAAAATCAAATAACTGTGAAAAAGCCAAAATGTGACCCACAGAAATTCTTAATAAAATAACTTTTGATTGAAAGCTAGATCTGTACTGAAGAAATAAAACCAGTAGAAAATTTAAGTTGATATAAGTTAAAGAATTAATCATGTAATGATGTATGCTAAAGTTTTAATTAACTTGATTTCAAGCAGACTCATCCCCTAGAGTCATGCAAGTAACCAGTTCTGGTCCAGGCCAAGTTCCGGCTTCTTCAATGCAGTTTTCATTGAAATATTTCTGACATTTGAATTTTTTGTTGATAGTAAGTATAATGCAATGTGTGTCTAGCCATCTGTTGGCAGCTCATTTTTTCATGCAATTCACCCTCAGTCTTTATGTGTCAGAACTATGTAAATAACCAAGGTATATCAAGTGAAAAATATGAGATGTTTCCCTTACCTTTGAGTAAAATCGATATCTCTAATGCTAAAACAATGCAAATTTACCTGTATTTAAACCACTAGTTAGGGGCGATTTAGAGATAGATTTTAACATTATTACACCAATGAAAAGCTTATCATCTTAGCTTTGTCTCAGTATATATTTCAACATATTGTTTGACACTAAAGGTATTTAAATTTATGGTTAAACCTACCATAAGTCAGACCATTTGTACATGTACAGATGTTTTATACAGTGAGATACACAACAAGTTATCTTTACTCACAATGCGACTGAAAAGAACAGAATTATAGACTGTCGTCTGCTAGTTTGGAAACTGTTAATCAGTGTATTGGTTCTTTTCTAGAAAAACGACATGGAATGAGTTAGTACTAGTAGTTAAATTGAAGTTGTTCTGTGGTTAACTGAAAACCATTTTTGTCCAGTCATCCAATATAGTCAACTTGTCCCTTAACTTGTCAACTATCTAGTTTTTAAAGTTTTCTAGATCAGAAAAATACTATTTTATAAATCAGCTTCAAAACACCACACTTAAGTGCTAAATAACATACGTTGACCACAAAAGGAAGAAGTTGACAAAAAATGACGAGTTAACTCATACATATTTCAATATGAGTGGACAAAAGTAGGGGACGAATATACAAACAAAAAAGGTTACGAGTTGACTGTAGGACGAGTTGCCCTGAGGACGAGTTGACCTGACATAATAATTTTTATACCTAAACAGATCCTTGTCGTGACATACATTCCTGAATCTAACGCATACTTTAATGACATTCTTCCAATCATTCCTTGGAACAGCACATAAAATATGTAGCAATATATCGTCAGAAATATGGTCAAACCAGCTAAATGTGTCTTGCGTTTCCATTTCCTTGTTCTTTTGTCCATTAAAATCTGTGTCACATAGACGCCTAAATCACACAAAGGTAGTGCACTACTAAATATTACATGACCAGATTTTTATTTAATTTAAATTTTAATATTCCATAAAATATTAATAACATGATGAAAATACTATGTAAATTTGTTTAAAATGTAAGTCACTTTTATTATATTAAATAAATCTCCATGAAAATATTTACTCTTTTCTGGATAAGAAATATTTTCTCTTGAAATTTCTCATAAAACTGAATATTATTATATTTAAATTAAAAACTGTAAAATTAAAATATTGTAAACATAAATAATGATATCGTCTTTGATTTAATCCCAAATGTAATTTAAATCACAGAAAAATACAAAATAAATTGCTGCCAGTATTGACAATGTACAGCATTAACGCACAGCATTTAATGCATAAAGCATTAATTAAATTAAGGAATGCTAGTGTAACATGTCACATTAATCTGAAATGACGTCAATAAAACAAATGACGTCAGGAAAATTACCTTTTCAATCAATGTATACAGTTCAACTTAGTTTTATCCATTTTCTTACTTATTAGCATGTTAGAATAGAAATAGATATATTTTTTTCTCTCGCATTATGTACAGTATAATAATACACGGTTCATTGTTCAAAATACTTATAATTGATATAATAAATCAATTGATCTGGCATGTAGACCTTCTTGATTATATTCCTATTGTAATAGGACGGAAAAACGGACACTCAGTGATCAAAATTAACGTCATAGTTCATTAAGGATACAATTGAAAAATCAAATGAGGAAAACATGTATAGGCATTTCATGCAGAGTTCTACAGTTTTATTATAAAATAAATTTCAGATAACTGTTTATTAAATTGATTTTTTAAAGTACAAAAAAAATGAAAATATTAGTTATAAAAAAACCATAAGAGGGGATATTGAGAGACATGACCAAGTAATGTGACTCTACCTTTGGTTTCTGTAGACAAGGCAATATCTAAAATAACCAAAAATACCACTTTTCACTACAATCACACGTTGCATTAAAATAACTCGACTTGAAAATTAATAACAAAGAGAAATGTTAGAAAATCTTGACTAAACAATGTCAAGAATCGATATTTCACTTTACAAATATGTTAAATTTAAGTAGTTTATGTAAAGATTATTGAATAACCCTAGATTTACCTTACATAGTATATGTATTTTATGCATTTGAACACGAACCGTGCATTATTCTACAACAATGCACTCAAATTTGATAACTTTTTCCTCATCAACGTCTACTTTCTACGGAAGCATGGAGAGGACATAGTCGATTTATTTTAATAATCTGTGGGAACAACTTATTTGTCGAAGTATTTTTTATTAATCTGTGGGAACAACATGTTTTGTGAGAAAAATCTTTTTTTATTCTGTGGGAACAACATATTTTGTGAGAAAAATCTTTTTTTATTCTGTGGGAACAACATATTTTGTGAGAAAAATCTTTTTTTAATCTGTGGGAACAACTTATTTTGTGAGATTTTTTTTTTTATTCTGTGGGAACAAACTATTTTCTGCTATATTTTTTTCAATATCTTGTTCCCTCAAGATAATAAGTTGTGCGAACAAATTAATTATGTTGTTCCCACAACATAATTCAACCAATCAAATTCTTGCATCTTGTTGTCAGAAAAATGGATAGAGATGTTTAAATTAAACAGTATTTTGAAATTGGTGTTTGAAGTATCAGGTATATTCAAAACATAATTAATTTGTTCGCACAACTTATTATCTTGAGGGAACAAGATATTGAAAAATATCGCAGAAAAATAGTTTGTTCCAACAGAGTAAAAAAAAGATTTTTCTCACAAAATAAGTTGTTCCCACAGAATATTTTTTTTTTACTCAAATTAAGTTGTTCCCACAGAATAAAAAAAGATTTTTCTCACAAAATATGTTGTTCCCACAGAATAAAAAAAAGATTTTTCTCACAAAATATGTTGTTCCCACAGAATAAATTTTTTTTTTTTACTCAAATTAAGTTGTTCCCACAGAATAAAAAAAGATTTTTCTCACAAAATATGTTGTTCCCACAGAATAAAAAAAGATTTTTCTCACAAAATATGTTGTTCCCACAGAATAAAAAAAGATTTTTCTCACAAAACATGTTGTTCCCACAGATTAATAACAAATATTTCGACAAATAAGTTGTTCCCACAGATTATTAAAATAAATCGACTATGTCCTCTCCATGCTTCCGTAACTTTCCTATATTGGTTGGCCTTTTTAATCAACTTATATAATTAAAAGGTATGAAAAATCAGATTTAATCTGAAGATCATTCTTGTGTAATTTAGTGGGAATTAGTGTTCTCTAGGAGATGAAAATATACGTCCTGGAGGATTAAACAAAAATATTATTTTCATATATCATTTGTAGCATTGTCTTTTTTGCACAAACAGGGTCTCAACATCTTCAAATTTATTTCATAAATAGTATCGTATTACTTTTGGGAATATAGTACCAAATCAGTGGTGTTCAGCCTTTAAAAAACATTTAAAGCGTTTATATGATTGTGAAAATTAAAAACATTTGATTCAAGCGTTTATTGATCCTGATGTGTCACGTATTTATTTTACTTTGATTATTTTTGTATTTTATAGGACAATTTCATATGTTTGCGGGAATTTATTATGTAGTTTTAATCTTCAATTATATTTACATTGCTGAGAAAGTTTTGTCGTATTAAGTCAAAGCAGTAAGCTGTAAAACATCGAAATATTTTAGATGTAATATTTCGGATACATCATTTTCGGATATTTCTTGATTTTAAATACATAATAAGTTAATAACTGGGGCATAATTGTTGCGTTAAGAATAATCCAAGTTGCACCAATAGTATAGCCAATGGCACCGATGGCTGACAATTTACTCTGAACGGATTTAATCATACTTTTTGTGACATGACAATAAAATAAACATTGACCAGTAATAATAGTAATATACATGTATCCACATACTGCCAGTTTTCAATCACAACCACTTTTCAATCATCCCTAGAAATTTTTTATTTTTGACCTTATTTGTCATGTAACCAAATTGTAAGCACATCTTGTATTCACCTTGACTAAATTTATCAGCAGCAAATTGAGCAATGTCAATTATGGCGCTAAAAAAGAAAACGCTAGCATTTTAGTTCAAAATATGTAAAATGTGTGTTTTCCACTAATCCTTTATTTACCCAGTTACAAATCGCAATAATTTTCTAAAAATAATTGATTTAAAGACTCAGTTTTTTGTCAGTCTGCAGAAATGGATATTAAGTTGGACAACTGTTTCAATATCATGAAGTTATAATGTATACTGCACTTCAAAAGCTGTAATTTTAATACGTACATATTTTACCATACAGTTCTTAATTGGAAGGTAATACATCAGTAAAGTAACAGTCACTTAACCAAGGAAAAACATTCTCTGTGATAACTTTTCAGTAAGCATTCACTAGAATGGGGTCATATAGACCCTAAGATCCTAAAAATTTCACAAGAACATGCTTTTTCTGTTATGCAAATTGAAATGTACATCCATACCCCAATTGTGACAGCTTTACAACTGCAAATAGATATCTGATTGAAAAATGGCCGTATAATTAGGTTAAAATTGTTTATTACCATTTATCTGAAGTTGAGTTTGTCAAAATTTCTCCAAAATACAGAACTACCGGTATGTGCGGATCTAGTAAAAGTCGGTGGCGTCTTTGATGTTTATTGGCACAAAATTTAATACAGATTAAAAATTCATTTAAACAGAATCATTTAAAAACGACAAAAGAATGTAAAATTCATCTGTTTTAGCGATCGTATATTTTTATAGTTTTGCGTACTTACCACGTTAATATCAAAGACTTTTTCAAAATTAAAACTGACAATTTCTATAAGTGCTAATTATTGCCTTGCCTGGGTTCCCATATTTACTCGATTATGTCAAGTAATCTTGTGAACTCAATCGAGTAGACTACAATGATCAAGCGTGTATAATTATGCGACCGACATTTGTGACAGTAAATTGAGGACATATAATCGAGTTTCTTTCAAGTTTCTTACATATTGCAAATGGATTTAATCTGTCAATAACCTGTATGTATATACGTCCATTTCACGTAAATCAGCTGGAAAAGAGCCGACGAATGTTTGTAATATATAGAACACAGACAGGGTAAGAAGTATTCGCTGGGATAAAATTTCGTCGGATCTTAAATTCGTGGATTGACCTACCCACGAAAACCACGAAAATTCGTGCCCCACGAATAATAATGATTTTACAGTATCTTCTGGTGTATAATATATATGACCTACTGGTCTGATATAAGAATAGCCCATTATAGTAATTAGGAACTTCAATTTATCAACAACAGTGATCTGTGATTACATGTGTTGCCTGATAATAGCATGTAGCTGGAGACACAAAAATCATTAACAGGCCAAAGCGCGGTTTTTATTCAAGGGCCATAACTCAGCCAAAATCATTCAACTGGAAAACTCAGTAATATATGTGCAAGTTCTTGAGGTACTGATCAATCCTGTAAAGTTTCAGTGAAATTGATCAGTGGTAAAAGAGGAGTAGTCTGGGGCTATTTTATTAAAAATAAAAATCATAAAAGGGTCATAACTCTGACAAAAATCATTAAACTGGATAATGCCAATGATATTCACAAATAGACTTGGTAATTCATTGGTGATCATTTGTGTAAAGTTTGGATGAAATTGCACCAGTTATTCCTGAGGAGTAGTCTGGACAAGTTTTGAGGCAGATGGACAAACGGACAGACAGGCAGACTACTGAGCAGTGATCCCTATTATATATCGCGGCTACTCAGTTATAACTAATTATATTTTAACATTGTATGACAATTTTTATGTGGAACAGTTTATATTTTGTTAACTGATTGAAAAGTGGTTGTGAAATTTTGAAGAACAGGAAAATGGGTCAGTAATGATTTGTCCTTGATTCATAGTAATAATTCAAGTAAAATTTTAAAAATTGGTGCATTTCTTAGCTGAAATGATAATATTCGCAAATTGAAAGAGAATTTTTTTTATATATAATTTCACTGTCAGTTATTGTTGAAAAATCTGTTAGCTGATCGGAAAGAGGCAGTATGGGGATATATATAAAGTAGACGGACGTTTCACTATTGGGACGGTTCACACCAAGACGTTTCACTCCCAAATGTTTATACCAAACATTTTCTGATACTTGTGATAAATTATACTAAAATATACCTTAAATTTAAAAAAAAAGATGAATTAAAAAAAACTTAAACAATGTATCCATTTAAACAAAGATCATTTACAGAATTTTTTATTAATAATTTACTAATAATATGAAAACAAGAACTATAGATAAATTTCTTTGTCATATCAGGCTCCATGTTTTTTTTTGTTACTAGAAAACTTCATAGTAAATTTCATCATTATTTTTTTTGTTAAATCAACATTCTAATCAATGTAACAATTATCTCAAACACAGAAAAAACACAGATGAAATAGATATAGATTTAATCAGAGCTTAGACACACATATATATAATATCTGTATCTGTATCTGTATCAACCGATATGTGTCTAAGAACTGTAAAGACCGCAAAAAAATGACTGAATTTATAACAACGCGTAGGAATACAACTAAATCAGTGACCCGAAAAATACAAATACCTAAAAAATGACCCAACAGATTAACCAATAAAAATTTCTGTATTGTATCGGTAATTAATAGATTTTAGATAAATCGAAAATACTCTAACTTAGTGAGCGATACATTTTATTTCTATAAAAATACTATTAACTGTACTGGTAGTGATTTTGATATTCAAATATGTCTTTGTTGTTCATAAAAATTTTCACTTTTATGTTATTGAATTATCTTTGTAATCCTACAAGTGGCTATACTCTGAATGCACCCAATAAATAGGTCACATAACTGCCAACAAGATAATTGGTTTTATGTTGGTGTCTAATTGACAGCCCATCAATTGATATGCTTAGTTTAACTTTAAGTTTTTGTTCTTGCATAAATGCCGTTATTATAAAAAAAAGACATTCATAAAATTTCATAAAAGCATGTTAAGACCATTTAAATAGAAAAAGAATTTTATATGCCAGCTGGCTTTATAATATGTATAGTTCTCTTGTTTACACTGCTTACTTTTCACAAGATCAACAAGACAAGATGGCAGCGTATGTGCCTGACTTGATGAAACATTTTATTACTTTAAAAATATATTTATTATATGTAGCAGACAACTTAAACACTGTAATGTAGAGAATATTATACCTACAGAAATAATAACCTTAAGACGTGAAATTTTGCTAAATTGTATTACTTGTTTTCTGATAGAAAGAAGAAAGTTTTAGTTTTCTAAAATTATCAAGTTGTAATGCAAATAGGAGTTTGTATTTTTGTTTTACAGGGAGTATGAAATACATGTCTACAACTAAATGAATACAGTTGGTCTGGCAACGCTGTTCAGAATGGGGTGTATTTGTGGTAAAGAAAGCATCACCATTAATAATCGAAGATTTTACATAAGGTCTAGACTTGGAGAAGGGTAAGCTATCAAAATTATAAAGACTTTTATCATGTATTTTAAGATTTCTTTGCTTTAAGTAGGTTGTTTTGGCCCACATATTTTTTTTGTGGGGGGGGGGGGGGCAGGGAGGGACATGTGTCTTGGTCCACCACGTGGAAACTGAGAACAAGTTAAGAAACACATGTTCATATGTATCTAAGAAACTAGAAATTAGCTAAAATGTGAATTGAAAATCACTTAGTGTAACCCAATTTTATGAATTACCAGCAATTGAGAATGAATCATTCCATTTATATGACATGTCAACAGAAAGATGTATTATTTATTTATATTTCACAGTGGATTCAGTGTAGTGGACCTACTAGAAGATGCGAGAAATCATACAATGTATGCTATGAAGAGAATAACATGCCATGATAAGAAAGATGAACAAGTGGCCATGCGTGAGGTGGAAATCATGAAATCTACTAAGCACAGTAACCTTGTGCTATTGATTGAATATGCTATGATCACTGTTGGTCAGCATGTGCAATCTCACGAGCCTATCACAGAAACACTAATTGTGATGCCATTTTACAAAGTAAGTTAGGTTTTTTTTAGTCTCACAATGTACAATTTAAATTATTTTACTAAAGTTGTGATTGTAATGCTATCTTATGTTACAGCATTACTTTTGTCTGGTGCGTTACTAGCTTTTACTATCTTGTCACAAAATATCTTAACATATTTGCTTTGTTGGAAACTACAATGTACATGTACAAAAAGAGTGAAGTATTTTGAATTATTTTGAATGGAAATACATAACAAATAATAACCAAATATCTGTTTCTAGAGGCATGTTACTTTAAATCAGCACCTAGTTTTCATCAAAATGTATTAAAAAGTAAAATTTTGTGAAGTGATCAAAGACAGAAACTTACACATTGCAAACATCGCAAAAACCAATAAAAGGTCAAAATATGCATACATTATAAGCCCTTAATTTGTTAGTCACACAGTAGAAATATGGTGATAAATACTGCAAAATAAGTCTTTAGTTGCTCACAACATGTAAATTATTTTTTAAATCTCGAATCTTTTTGCTTTTCTTAAATTTTAGTACATTTTTCTCAAGTTTGATTTTCTTGAAATATTTTGGCTCATCTGGAGACCTGGTATGCAGTTTTATTAGGCTCCATTATATCCATGTCAACATCACCAATATAGCTAGGGATATATTTCCACAAAATGTATGTTAAGTCAGTCAATTCTTATCCAAACTTGTCTTATTTTGTACTTTGGATTTTCCAAACATTTTTAATTTTGAAAAGACAGAGAAAATCTATTTATTGAGATTTCAAGAGATAATTATTATGTACATACATGTATGTAAAATTTTGAATATGAGTTTATATATCATATTGTTGTTTTTTGCCAATATAGAGAGGCACTGTCCAAGATAGAATCGAGTCACTCAGTCGAAAATCAGATAAAATGAAGGAAGAAGATATATGGCCGGTGTTTCTTGGAGTCTGTAAAGCCCTGAAAGCTCTACATAGTCACAATCCGCCATATGCTCACAGGTAATGAGCCTTCTATTTGATAGTAACACCTCAGGGTTGTGCATTTCAAATGCAGGAAGTATATTGGTTGCATTTTATAAGGTGTGAAATAAAGACAGATAATGTGTGACATTGATGGTTCTATTCACTGCCATATGAACATTTCTGTGATTGTGACACACTTCAATCCCTGCCTTGAACCAACCAGTACTGAACAATGAGACTCAGTGTACAGTAAAGTTTCTTGGTCAAGAAAACAACGGCTTGCCCCTGATAGGGTTTGAACCAACTAAGCCAGCAATTCCAGATTTCTAGTCTGACATATGTCTGATGCGTTTACCACTCAACTATGCAATCAGATACATATATTTCTTGTCAGACTTCCATCAAACTTAACCCAGAAAAATGAAAAGTTTGCCACAATCACATTTTAAAATACTGTCCTGTACTTATCATCTTATGATACTTGATTCAGTCTATGTGACATGAATCCTCACTTTAGATTTAATATATTTTTGTACATTTATATAATATACAGAGATTTGAAGCCAGGTAACATAATGATTGGTGATAATGGTGAAGCAATTCTTATGGACTTGGGCTCGGCAGTGAAAGCAAGAGTTGAAATCAAATCAAGATCTGAAGCCATAGCTTTACAGGTTGGTCCACTTATTATGCCTCGGTATGTTTTATTATAGCACGGCTGAGATTTTAGTTTTAAATTTTTGGCCTATAGATTTGCCCTTGTCAGTTTAGACATGAGAATGTGGATATATTATTCCTTTTCTATTTCAAGAATCTATCATGTGGAAATTTTACAATCCACAAATTTTCACTGTGTTTATGTGCTGGTTAAATATATATGTAGTCATATTGTAAACTTTAGAAATAAATATTGTTTAAACTAAAGTTTTTCCCATTTTCTGCCTGAGTCTCTGAGTAAGTTTTAGACAAGAAAGTAAATGTCCAATGTAAATTTGTGTAAAGTGAAAATTGACCATATTATATTCAAAGACTTGCATTTCTAGGATGAAGCCGCCGAGCGATCTTCAATGTTATTCCGTCCACCAGAGCTGTTTAATGTTGAGCCAGGAACCAGTGTGGACGAGAGAACAGATATATGGGTGAGAGTTTGGTTTATGGTTCCCTGTTTTTAAAATGTTGATAATTTATTCTTCAAATGATAACTGCATTTTATTTTTGAATTATAGCATATTAATCGTCACCATAGAGCAATAACTGGTTAACCCCAATTAAAGTTAGGAGTTAACCCATTACTGCACTAAGGTGACAAATTTTCTTCTTTTTCCCTTTTATTTATTGGGATTGTTTTTAAATGCATATTTGATTAATGTAATTCAGTAGATACAAATGTAGAAAGTTAAGCATTCTGACCTATAATAATCAAGATTGTAAGACTTCATGTGTTTTACAAATTACAAGTTTAAATTTTGTAATTATAGAAAATAATTGGTCTACAATGTGTACAATGTTTTTATGCCCCCGCCATGTAATGGCCGGGGCATATAGTGTTACCCTGTTCCGTCCTTCCGTCCTTCCGTCATTCCGTCCTTCCGTCATTCCGTCCTTCCGTCATTCTGTCATTCCGTCATCATCGGTTTCCGTTCATTATCTTAGTAACGGTTGCAGATATTCAACTCAAATTTGGCATATGGATATGTCATGAGAAAATACAGGTCAAGTTCGAATTTGGTCATGGTTCGATGATTTTTGGCAGAGTTATGCCCCTTTTACTTTGAAAATAATATGAAATTTTCAGTTTCCGTTCATTATCTCCCCAACGGTACAACACATTCAAATCAAATTTGACATATGGATATGTCATCAGAAAATACAGGTTCAAGTTCGAATTTGGTCCATGGTTCGAATGATTTTTGGCAGAGCTATGCCCCTTTTACTTTGAAAATAATATGAAATTTTTCAGTTTCCGTTCATTATCTCCCCAACGGCTACAACACATTCAACTTCAAATTTGACATATGGATATGTCATGAGAAAATACAGGTCAAGTTTGAATTTGGTCATGTTCTATGATTTTTGGCAGAGTTATGCTCCTTTTACTTTGAAAATAATATGAAATTTTCAGTTTCTGTTTATTATCTCCCCAACAGTACAACACATTCAACTCAAATTTCACATATGGATATGTTTTGGAATGCCCAGGCCCAGTTCGAATTTGGTCATGGTTCAATGATTTTTGGTAGAGTATGCCCTTTCACTTTGAAATAATATGAAATTTACAGTTTCTGTTCATTATCTACCCAACAGTGTTACATATTCAACTCAAATTTGACATATGGATATGTCAAAGGAATGGGCAGGTCAAGTTGGAATTTGGTCATGGTTCGATGATTTTTTGGCAGAGTTATGTCCTTTCACTTTGAAAATAATATAGATACATCTTAGGAATAAGCAGTTTAAGTTTGAATTTGGTCGTGGTTCAATGATTTTAGACAAACTTATCTTTCTTGAATATTGGAAAAAATTTGAACTTTCAGTTTCAGCACTCATACTTTTGTGGAAATGTATGTAGCCATTATTTTGGCTACAAATATGAAATATGCTATTTTCAAAAGGTTAAGACTGAATAATTTCAGTGCCTTGAACATTGTATGAAAATGGTTTGTGTAAACGTTGAAAAGTTTTAAGGGCTTTGAACTTAAAATGAAAACAATAATTTGTGCAAACAAATTTGGAACTAAATATTATAACATCTGAAATTTTGGCTGCATGCGGGGGCATCCGTGGCATGATGACACATTTCTAGTTTATTTACAATGTCATATGAGTAATTTTGCTGATTTTTATATGCATTAGCTGAGAGGCTTTTGGTCAAGGTTTTGTGGGGGGAGCTTTGTCTGTATGATACTAGGCTGACTTAATTCTAAACAACTACACAAGGCTTGACAATACGGATGATATCAAAGTTTAAAGGTGTTATTTCTTCATGTATATTTCAGTCATTGGGATGTACTCTGTATGCCATGGCATTCCTGGAGGCTCCATTTGAGCAAGCATATCAGAGAGGAGATAGTATAGCGTTGGCTGTGATGTCAGATAATATCAGAATTCCACAAAATACAGGGTAAATAATGGCAGACATAATAGTTATATGTAATGTTTATTTTATTTCTGCAAGATTTTATTTCTTATTTTCCAATTAAGACCGTACTACACTTAATATCTTAAATGGACACGTTCTTAAATGGACTTGTCCATTTTTTTCAGTCTGGACAAAACCATTCATCATTTATAGGGAAAGTTTCAGAATAAGTTCTGACTGAATTAACGAAGAGTATCAAACAGTGCAGATGATGATCAGACAACATAGATGTGCGGTCTGATCTTGGTCTGCACTGATCACATCGGTACATTCAGTTGCCCCAGGTTAAAGGTTTATGAATTTTGAATCTTTTTTTATAGGATTAGTTTTTCTTTAATAATCTTGTTTGGAAATAAGGTTACCTATAATATGTGTCAGTGGGATATTGATAGCAAAGAATGAACAAATGACAAGGCTACTTTAGAGCACCTATTACATTTTCAACCTGCTTGATTTGAGTAATTTACTAGAACTTGTCCCTGCTTTAAATAAGGCAAAGTCCATTGTGATGAAGGTTGGAATATTTCATTATCTGAAGTATGGCATTGTGCAATGAAATATTTAGTGCTTTGTCAGTATGCTCTGATATGCAGGCAGGAATTGGGGCAATACTGATGGTATAGTTTGTCCTTACATCATATAAACATCTTTAGGGTAATTGTTTGGAATTTGGGTTAATTGTCAGAATTAGACTGTATCTCAGTCTTATGTTTAAAGGTAATAAAAACAAGTTTTCTAAAGACTGTGCCTTAGGGTCTCAGTGCCCAAGTGGTTACGGTTGTTTACTAAGAATTACTTGCCCCATATCGCTTTTGGTTTGAATGCTGATAGGAACTTTAAATTCTTTCATGTGAGGAAGCTATCCCGTTAGTGTACAAAAGGCCAGTGGTTCTTCTCAGATACAATCTTCTACAAAATGTCTTTCTCCTTCAATAAGTCTGGAAAGATTATACTGTTCACAGGACTTAACCCCCTTCCCCCCCCCCCAAAAAAAAAAAAATAATAATAAAAAAATAAATAAAATAAGATAAATTATTTGAGTGTGTAATAATTTTTTACTTTTCAGATATTCCACTTCAATAGAGGAGACTATTCGTACCTGTATGGTAGTAAATCCTATGGAGAGACCTTTTATTGACCAAATCCTGAATAAAGCTCAAACTATGTGCAACAAAAATAGTGCAAATGCGTGACGAATACATGTACATGTATATGTAACCAAGAATTAGACTTTTGAACGAGGGGAAAATCCATCAGTGATATATACAGTGTATCACTCACTCTATATCATTCACTGGTGAAATTCATTTTGGTCAAAACACTAAAAATATAAATTAAGAGATAAGTTGTGGGTGTTATGTGAATTTGGAGTATGATTTGTTTCTAAGGAACAATTTTCAATACTAACATTATACTACATGCTTGAATAAGTATTTTGAAAAGTTTCATTTGCTGATGAGATATTTTTCATTTTTCACAGAAATCAAGAGTCAGTATGAATAATATCTTATATAGCTTATCTCATTAAGGCTGAATGGTTGCCAAATTTATATTTTAAACTAACAATTTCAATGCTATACATATTTGGAAATGGAAAAATATCATTTATAGTAATTTCATGATAGGAAATACAGTATGTGCTTTGTGAAAATGATATTGATCCTCATAATTGTTGCTGATATAATTTGGAGGATTTCATTTCCCATACTTGCAAATACAAATATGAAAGTAACTGTTGACTTACATGTAATTATTGGATATTTTTTGTATTCAAAATATAACGAAATGATAATAAATGGATCATTGCAGTTAGAATTGAAAAGCAAACTAATATTGCTAAGTCTAAGAAATCTGCATTACCGGCCTGGTTCTCTTTACTGGTCACATAATCAAGTCATTATGGCCTGCTGTAGGTCAGAAAGTTGACCCATATTCTGCCAATGGTGATTGTAATAGTTCCTGCAAAAGTTTGATTACAGACCCCCTGTAGTCATCCTGAACCAAGCTGTTTGAAATCCGTACTATACTTTTTTCTGAATTCAAGAAATTTAAATGATTTTAATATTTAATCAAACAGACAACAACTTCAGCAGATAATAAATTTTCCTAGCATGCAAAGGGTTTATTGCATTCTAATGCATATATTTATCACATAAACCCTGACATGGGAGTGTAATAAAACCATTTAATAAAAATGATATTGCACTAGTGTAATAACACTTTGATGTGACATCATTTGCATTATAATACAAACATTGTTAAAGCGTTCTAATGTTAGCATTACACTATATGCATGTCAATGAAAAATAACTCTTTTAGCTGTAAATCGTTCTAATTTTAGATATTTGATAAATAAAATTTTATATTTGTGTAGATTCAATACAAAATTTATTGAACTTGTTGAATAAATCAATATATGATTTTATTCAACTCGTTCAATAAATTTAGTATTAAATCCACACTCATTCAATAACCTCTATAGAATCTATATGTATTTTCCATTGAATCAGAAATTTTAGTCTGTCTTTCTATGTTTTATTTGGGACCAAATGGTTGTACATCTTATTTTAATTTACTTTTGTAAATGCATAATTGTTAATATTTGTTTATTTTGTGCAATAATAAATATATTATGTCATACATTCCATTTATTTGTTGTTTATCTTTTTTTTTAAATATCTTTAAATACAGTTTCTTGTGGTCACAACATAGTTACACATGTATATTTGTTTGTTTGTTTTTTGAATTGACATGAAATGCTTACTATGTATCTGCTGGCAGATGGTTTTCAATCCACACAAAAATGCCCTGTATAAAGAGGACATTAATAGTTTTCTCTACCTTGTAACTCCAAGCACTACCAATTCATTAATTCAGTACTACTTCTTTCTTTATTTCACAATTTATCTTGAACATTTGGTCATTTGTATCACACCACTCTGATTTAGTTGCTCACTGGTGAAGAAATTGGTTATTAGTTGTCAAGTTATCCAGGAAAGCCAGTTAGGTGGATTGACCGCCAAGATATTACCAAAAATGTGTTATGGTAAATAGGCGTAAAAAACCAACTGCCTTTAACATTCAGGGCACATGTGGTGTTGAGTTACTGCTTGGAAACCTTTTTGACATACACCGGTCCATTTGATCTTGACCTTTTGACCCAAAAGTCAACGGGTAATGAATAGTCCAAAACCAATGCTTCTATGAAGTTTCAGGGCTAAGGCCTATTGGTTGTCATCTTATTGGTCGGAAACCAATTTTGACATACAAGGTGAATGTGAGGATGACCTTTGACCTTTCAACCTCACAATCAATAGGGGTCATCTACTGGCCAAGACCAATGCACCTATAAGTTTTAGGGTTATGGACCCATGGGTTGTCGAGTTATTGGTCGGAAACCGTTTTTACATATACAAGGTGAATCTGACTTTGACTTTGACCTCAAAATCACTAGGGGTCATCTACTGACCAAAAGCAATCCATCTATGAAGTTTGAGGGCGAGTGACCCATGGGTTGACGAGTTTTTTGGTCGGAAATCGTTTTCTTAAAAAATGTCAATGTCATTTAACTTAGTGACCCCAAAACCTACAGGGTTTATCTTCTAGCCATAATCAAATTCTAAACCCTAGGCTCGGCGTTCTTAAGTTATTGTTTGCAAACTGTTTGGTCTCCGGACTGACGGACGGACCGACGTATGCAATGCTGTATACCCACAATTCTTTGAAGAAGGCATAATAACTAAACTCTTAAAATAGAGTATTTTATATAATTTATTGTGAAATGGTACAAATATAATTATGCTGATCTTATAATGATAAATATGGTATGTAAATATGAAATGGTAGCAAAACATATACATGTATAATAAAAAAGCTTTAAGCTAGACATATACGAGAACATCTGTACAATATAATATTGATAATATTCAACATGTCGCAATTTAACATGTATATTATTGGCAATGAACGTGTATATTAAAGTCTTAAATATGACTCATGATTATTGGCTCGGTATATACAAACAAATCACATACATTTTCTAGCCCTCTCATAGTTTCTCCTTTTTTCTTCAGTTATATGATAATGAAAGGGTTTTAAAAAATTAGACCCACGGCCACACACAATTATAAATAAATCAAATCTAACTTACGATGAGATAAAATATATCTTAAGAAAGTCGACAAAATGCAAAAGGTATACGCCACATTAGGGATTTTATTTAAAAAGCACGATGACAAAGAATTTCGACAAAAATGCAATACTGAATAGGTGTGCGCCACGATAGAAACCATCGCGCCACGACCCCCCAAAATCAATAACGGTAACACCTATTTGAAAAAACGATAATTTTCTGATTTCTGAAATATGAATGTGTTAAGTTAATAATACCAGTATTATGCAGTATATTCAGTTTTATTAATTATAAGATATAATTCTATTAAGTTACTATGAACATTCACTCCATTGATCAACCTAAAACTTGACCTTTCCATAACTAACATAGGTCATTCTTCCATCAAAGCTTGCACAAACTACTACCCATGTGTTGTAAAATTAAAGTACGCGTTGCCATGATCAGGAACACCAAAAATGTTACACGTATATTTGAGTGGAAATGGATGTGTATAAAGTGCACCAGCTAAAACGAATTCACACGAACTTTATCGAGTTTATACGAGCTTTTATTTACTTCCCACATTTTGCATCACTTTCTTCATAGCTCCTTTACTGGAAATGCATTTTTTGATTTTAATTTAGATCAGTATGGTTCAATAATAGTTTAATACTTAACATTTATTTTGCTTTTGTCTTATGTAGAGATATGAAATATCTCTCCCGTTGCAATGGAATTAGCGTATTTTAAAAAGGTCTATATTTTGACACTAAAAGTTGCTTTACATGATATATAAACTAAGGGTGTTTATGTACTAGAACAACCCTCGTACTACTTCTATGTCTAAAAATATATATTATTTATAAACTATTAATTTTCATACAACCTAGATCATACAATACATTTCAATGATATGTTTAAAATATATTATTCTTCACTATGAGGTCTACAAGTATTCAAGGATGTATATATTCAAGGATACATCCAGGCCATTATTGAAACAAAAACAATGAGATGATAGCAACTAAAAGATATGCCTTTGTATGACCCTACCATGTTAATTAATTCATAATGAATTTGTGTTACAATGTTAATCCTTATACTAATAATTTTATATAAACAGCTCGGCAAAAGTCCTTGATGGTCATGTTACTGCATTCATCCGATCTGCTTTCATCTTTTAAGAGTTTCTTTGCACATTCAATTGTAAATTGATAATAATTGTGCTAACACGAACATTTTAGAAAACGTAGAAATACAAGTCACTCCCATTTGTTCATGTATTGTAATTGTAGTGACTATTTATAGAATACAATTATATTCATCAAACAATGATGAAAGTACACTTCTTCTTTACTTGAAAAACCGATTAATTTCACGTGCAACTATGCTAATTGGTAAATGATTTAAATTGCTTTTCTCGTATCATAATTTCTTCTTTGGACTTATTGCTGTTCTTTACACTTCTTTACTTGTTTCTTTTTATAGACCTGGTATCTGTCTTTAATTAACTTTATCGTCATTGATAGTTATTTATAATCGTGATGTTTATTGGTGTCTATTTATAGTCTTAATACCCATTTTCGGGCTCGTCACCAAGCATTTTTGTCTTCTCCACCTCACCTGCATGTTGCATTCTTTCCATCTCTTCCTTTTGCTTTCGTTTGAAAAATCCACACTGAACAAAAATGAAAATAATTTATTACTAATGTGCAATTAAAAATGACATATTAAGTAGTTTTTGGACAAATGGCAATCATTCAGATTTCTCTCAATTAGTGAAAAGTGCATATCGATCGTTATAATCATTTTATTATCTTTCTTTTTTTCTAATCTAAATTATAAAAAATATTCAAATAGATGTTTCTGTCTGTATAGAAAAACAGCATGTTTCTAGTTTGCTTTGTTTGGATTTTTTGTGATCTTCAAAATAAATAGGAATGGCCAGGGAAATATATGGGCCATTCTATTAATCTAATATTTTGTTACCTGTTAGAATGTTAATTGTTCTTTTTTTAAATTATCTTTTTGTTTTGAATTATAAAATAAGGTTACCTTCCATAGAATTAATACGATAAGCACAATAAAAAGAAGTCCACCCAGTACGCTGAGCAAAATTATCCACCATGGTAGACGTTGAGGGGGCGGCGACACCGGAAGCAGATCTGAGTATACCTGAGAGAAATATATTAGAAACAATATGAAAATATCCAACACTATTTATAAAATGCCTTAAATGTATATAATTTTGATGTATCGGTAATAATAAAGGTAATGTATGTTAACCTGTTGATGAATGCAACGAGGATCACCACATGCCAAAATATAAGTACTGCTGCACACAGAATAAAATTAGGCAACATTGAAAAATGATAATATATCACATCCATTATAACTTGTAAAGGTTCTGCCATTTCCTTTGTCTTCTAAAGGTAAAAGTCAAGTAAGTGTTTACAAAACCAGGAGCGACAACAATTAAATCTTGTCACTTCGCTGCTTTCCAATTAGATACGGAAAGGGAGGGACGATGTTGGCCGAGTTTTCAAAATCCATCAAATGGAAGGATATCATAATATATATATAATACGTACCGATTCAGATTGTTCGGACGCATCAGTAATCAACCGACTGAGATCCAAGAGTCTAACATAAGCTTCTGATCTAATCTTTATGGCACCGCCATCCTGTTGTTAAAATAAAACAAAAATGAAAAATTAATTAAAATAAACGGTGTGTTCACTCACAATATCTCAGTCTCTTTTTAAAGGTTCATTATGCCTCAGAAATGCTTTTATGTTTTACTATTACCACGGTACATGTTCCTCCTTGTTAATTTGTGTCATAATCAGTAGAGTTAATACAAACACAGAAATTCGATTGATAATGTCTGGCAGAGCCAGACGTCTTTATTGTCTAAGAATAGATTATGATATAATCAAAAAAATAACCAGAAACTTCAAATACGCAATTACGATTTTATTTTATTTTTTCAACAGCTTTTTATTTTTGATGTCCGGTTATATTTTCCAAACAGTTGCTACTCATTGGCCTTTCAACTGAACCATTTTTTGCGGCTGTTCCATCTTGGCAATCAGTACAATTATAGTGATTTAGTACTTTGTATGAAAGTCAAATTACTACTTTGTTTACATGTTAATACCTTTATGACACACAAATTCACATCTTCAGGTAATACGCATCTAACATACTCTAAAATTATTATTTAAAACATTAAAATACTCATGTTTGCATTTCTAAAGAAGGAAAAAAATATAAGTTTCTGAGGCAAAATGTGGTTTAAAATAAATAAAGATATAGATGTATTTGCCTTTCGCAGTATTGTATGGACTCTGTTTAAGACAAGACAATACAGTACAGTGCAGGCACTCAAGAAGTGAGGTGTCATATAAATTCTCATACATAATGACAGCTTTTTAAATAATTGTTCAAAATAATTGTCGGTATTTTTAATTACGTATAACACAAAAAGCTTCCCGATAGCGTTGAGGGAAAATCAATTTGAATAAGCTATAATGGTACATTGCTTATTCAGAGGAAGTATTAAGATTATTTTGTAACACAAATATTTACCATTGAGAATTTAAAGTAAAATAAGAAAAATACATTTGCATACCGATACTTTATCCAATATATCTCCCGAGGCAACATATTCTAACGTGACCACAGCACTCTCTCTAGGTGGAATGTCATAGAGTTTACATTCATATCTTGAACAGCCTCCCTTTGCACAATCCTAAAAAAATGGAGCATATCGCATTACGTGTTACTTCGGAAACAATCCTTACATAACATTTGTAATATTGGTTGGGTTTTATATCATATTGGATCATGCGACGTCCAATACAAGAAAAATATTGGACTGTCATGAGGTACAACCAGCATTTCGACTGCTATACAATTATGTTTTATATTAATACAAGAAACACTTCACGAAACTCCATATCAAAAACACCATGTCTGTCAATATTTTGGTATTTTACAATTATAAAACATAAACAAAGATATTCAATATAAATAAAAATATAAAAGCAAGAAATATTTTTTCATGAATGTACTCTTATCAATGATTTACAACTCTTAAGACTTTACAATGAGTCCAATGATACAAAAAGGATGAAGAAAATACATACAATGTTTTTCATGTCAGCAATACTTTTAGACTCCCCAATATTCTCATCATTTTCTCCAGGCGTATCGACATGAAGATATGTAGGTCCCATACTAGCGGCATGTACGACAGGGGCCGTGTCGGCCGTGTCTGGGAAAGAACAAAACACTCTACACGGTGGTGGGCAGCTCCACTGACAAAGGCAAAAAATCATATATTTGTTATACTAGCATTTTCTTTTTCATTATTTGCATTTCGATTATTGAATGGAAGTAGCTCCATTAACTGTTATTACCAGAAGTATTTAGGTTTGATTCTTAAAAGATGACACAGCCAATTTTACAGAGAAGAGAGTTTTACAGATAACAGAACTACTACAAACATTTTAAAAACAAATATGCATCACATTTTTTACTGAAAAATGTATTCTTAAGGATGATGTGAATCACCATAGCAACAAATGAATATATTCTTACACTGGTAGTATTGAGGTAAAGGAGAGGTGAGCCGCCCTGTTGGATTTGCGGGTATAATACCAGGAGTGTGGATGTGGGTAGAAGACTTGGTCCTTTATTTCGTAACTCGTACGTGTGAGATGTCAGATATTTCTTATCCTTGTCTCTTACTGTAAGGGATATAGGTTTTGATATCCTGAAAAATAATGGATTAAAATTATAATTATATTCGACATAATTCTCAAAAGTGTTTAAGTAATGTCATTATACAGAAGACAGAGACAGACTTCAAATGCAGATCTTACATGCAGCATCATTTCTTGGTAATTATGATTTCCGGTTCACGTTCGTATATAATTATTTATTGAAAATGCTTGAAATTCATTATCAATTATTTGAAAAGTGTTTGTTCCATGTTGATGCAAATTTGTTGCTCCTGGTCACAATAACTGCTTATAAATATTAATTGGTTTACCAAACTCCGGTGAATATTGAATTCGGATGCTGCTCACAAACAAAGAAATATGGAAATATGCAATGTAAAAATCACATCCTTTTATTTACGAGGGGCATTGGTGTATAAAATTATAAAACTTACCCAGTAAAGGTGGTTGCCACCTGATTTCTAACTTGTACATTGATAGTTTTCACGTTATCTGCTGGTACTAATTCCGTACTTAAAGTGGTAGCATTAAGTTTAAACTCCAACTTAGTGTTGTTGATGGAATCCGGTACAAACATACTTAACCGAAACCTGTTAAATATGTATGTATAAGATGTATTTTCATAATATAAAATGTGATAATTTATACCCGTACCCCAATTTGTGCCAGTATGCACATCATTGTAGTCTTTTTCCTGTCTTACTTTAAATTTTCATCTTAATATCCACAAAATTGATACTAGTAATGGGCAGTTCAACAAATGAATCAAGCTGATCAAGACCATTTAAGAAATTCAGCAGGTTAATGGTTAACATAAAAATTCAAGTACTGACAGAGTAATGGAAGACATATGTATACCTTACTCCAGTGTTAGCATACATTGGATTCCCGAATGAACACGCCAGTAATAATTCGTTTTCTGATATTTTTGGGATATTTCTTCTTTGTAAATAGTCGAGAGATTCCATATCTTCTTCGTCAGAATCGTCAGTTCCAAAATTAACAAAACCACAATTGATCTCCGAGTCCCCATACACCTTGGTAACCTTGAACATAACAAGATGTCAATTGTATATACTATACTTAAGAATTTAAGGTAAACTGTTTAAACATATTTCATGTTTATACAGAGTAGATTTTAAAATTCCGACATAACTGTTTGACGGGTTCATACGCGTGATCCAATAACAGGACGGACCGTCGTTCCGTTCAAAAAATTGTTTCACTAATTAGGAATTAATAGATGTTTTCCATTTACGAAAGGTGTTTCATTTACAAGACGTATTCAGTTATGAGTCGCGTTGTATAAAGTGTTAATTAATAACGACAACCGTTGTTTTAATGAGGGATGTTCAAACAAGACAAATATGTAACAACAATGAAGAAGTTTTTCTATTCAATATGAACGTATTGTCTATCAAAATGAGAGTTGTATATGTATTCATGTTCTTGCCATCGACAAGATCATGCCATTTAAAGATTTATTATTATGCAAAATTTATAAAAAATTTATTTTTTTTAAACGACATTTTTTTTAATAAATGCACCATATCCGTCAAAGTCCAAGTGTGTCTGTATTAAAAAAACACATATATGCATGTTTTGGGTTGTTGTTTTTTTTCATTTTGTAAGAGAAAGAAAATAAACAAAACGTTTCTTACCTTCTGGTATTGAAGAGTATTCGGAAATGCTATAAAGAAGTTGGAGCTGTAACTAGGGTCTTCTTCTTTCAAGATGCTAACATCTATAGTCAATGTGGATGCGCCGATAATGAAATAGTCTTTGGATGTGCCATAGTCAGCCTTAGCTGTAAGTCGTAGATCCGTCTTACATTCGTTATTTGGACAATCTTTTTTAAAGTCAATCTGTCATCATTTTCACAAACATTTCCGTGTATAAGAAACAGTAAAGCGTTTTAATTTCAAGTATTAAATAGCCAATTTATTTCTAATTAGATCAAACTCGGCTTAATATTGTATATTGTAATTTACAGCAGAGTCATGACAACCAAACAGAACAGAATTGGTATGATTAAAAAAAAAAATATTTATTTCCTTTAAAACTGCTTTTAGCTTGCTATTATTCCTTTGGGTTACATGCAGAGATAAGTTTAATGCCAATTTACATTGCACCAGCAAGCTGTTCCTTGAACCATCTATTTGCATGGGAATACTGAACAAAAAGCTACTGTCATCATTTTTGAAATCAGGGTGTACACCGTTCATATTAGATTGGAAAAACATGCCCATGAACATTGGAACATGGGACCGTTACGAACAAGTTTGAGGGACCATTCTTTGTCATATTATATTTGAATTCATCCGACTGAGACACTGGACGTACTTGGTGCTATTAATAGCTGACACAGATTTTTTGTAACACATTTTAGTAAATCCTCAAGTACTTATAAACGAACACTCAACAACAACCAAACTACAAGGCTCAATTGGAAGTGGCCTTTATCATGCATCATTATAATATTTTTTGATGAGATTATTGTCTCGATTATATATGGTTATACAACGTTGTGTTCGGAATATGGTCGTAGAATAAGAAGCTTATGAAACACTCACAATTTTTAGTTGTTATTAGTAATCTTTGTCTGGGTTTTTCTCCGTCGATTTATTTGATTAGGTGGGCGTGGAAACCAAGCAACTCCCGGTATTGCCTCAATCTTCATAAACTGGCTTTCATTCGAACAGGTGTCACCAAGTCGGATGTTGACTGTAAAATTAATAAATAATTGAAAAAACAATCAACAGTTTAAAGGTCGTATGTGTGAGTGAATAAATTGCAAAGTGAACAAATGGTTTCCATATATTTTCATGCAATTGTGAGTTTATAATATCGTTTTATAGGTTTTCATAAATTTTCAATATTTTTTATTCATTATTGTCCAATGGTGTGACAGGTTCAGTTTAAAACTTTTGAACTTTTTTTTATTTAGTAATGGGTGTAATAGTTTTAAAAATAAACTTTGTCATATGATTATCTTGATCAGAATATCCTTTTCATTAATATTTGTTCTACCCCCTGAAAATACCTTCTGTATAAAACTATCCACATTGCCTCCATTAGAACGAAATGATATTCTATTATACTCCCCCATATAAGTATCTATCTCTAGGGTTACATTCAGGTCTGTAAATCACAAAATCATGAATAGTAATAGCAGGTTGTGCAATTTGCCATTTTCTTTGGTATGGTATTTTACTTATTGTATTGTAATAAAACAGGCTGAAAGTCTTAGTTTGGTGGCCATTTTTGGCGCCATCTTGGATGCATGATTTGAAGATTTAATCTATGAAATTCTTGCAATTACGATAACTTTTTATTTTACAAAGATGACAATAGGATCATGTAAATACATAGGCACTTGGTTTCGGGATAAAAAATCCTTTTGAGCGGTTTGGAGAACATAAATTTGATTGAATGTAACCATTTTTAACGTAGATGTCTTGATACTAAAACCGTCATTTTCGATGTTACTTACGAAAAAAAAACAAGTGTTTTTATGACGGTTTTATGTTTAAATATATAGATAAAAAATTCATAAACATTTCTTACTTATAAATTTGTAAAGTATTTTCTTTAAAGAGGTCATTTAGCTTCCATGAAAATCTTTAATTTTTAACAAAAATTATTTCAACAATTTTAATAAGCGCATGTTTATAATTAATATAATACATGGATTCCATTCACACAATACATGCTGTAATTTCATGAAAGATATTTATTTAAATTCACAAACAATACAGAACATCCATGAACATGATTTTAAATGAATTGCTTTTCAATAAACACCCAGCGTTTATGACAATATATAATTGTACTTAAAATCCATTTGGATGAAAACATTACATCAGTACGAAACGAGTAATGGAACAATGCTAAACGATTCTAGCGCAAAGATAGTCAATTGAAACAAAAATAATAATACAATCATACTTAATATAAATTCTAATTTCAATGTTAATGTTCAATTACCAATAGTGTTGAATTGCCTGTAGCTGTAGTAAAAGCAAACATTGGCCCTGAAACAAGGTACGACATCTGTACGAGATGTAGATGGACATAACTGTGTGGTATCTTTATCTATCTGGCTGACACTTGGCACTAGTGAAATTTCTATGTTGATTACAGATTGACCGAACAGTATGTATGCTTTATCAGAGAGGTATGCCCCTACTGCAATATCTGAAATTAAAGGTTAAAAAAAATCACGATGTTTGCTTTTGTTGTTGTTGTTGTTGTTCTTTTTAGTTCTTTTTTGTTTGTTTTTTTTTCTGTTTACTTAAAGGCTCATTATGCCTCAGAAACTTTTTTTTATTTTTTATTTCTCAAATGCTTTTTAATGTCGGTGTACTTTTATAGTTTCAAAATAATTGCTAAATTACTAAATGACCAATTACCTGAATCATCTTATTCGACTGTTGGTTTTTGCCCAATTAGTACAGTTATAGTGAATTAGTATTTTGTATTGAACGCAAAATACTGCTTTGTTCACATTATTCTGATTTTTTCACATTTGTGATAACTTTTTTCAGGTAACAAGCATCTAGCATTTCTAAAACCATTATTTAAACATTATAAAATTCATGTTTGGTCTTTCAAAAAAAAAAGAAAAAAAAAAGTTCCTGAGGCATAATGTGCTTTAAAGGGGTTTGTGGGTTTGTGATTCACTTTCAGCGTTAAGAAGCTTATATTGAAGAAGCTAGTCTTTTAGTTCAAAGAAAGCCAAATGTACGGATTAAAGTATGCTTGTTGTACTGATGGGCACAGCGGTTTTTTGTGTGACTTACTGTCGGTTGAAACAAACAACTGATACAAGTAAGTCATGTCCGGCGTTTCTTAAAACTAAGCAAAAAGTAAAAACCATGAAATTAACATATTAACTAATGTCTCATTAATTGTGATCAAGCACATACTCTGCAACTAAAATCGCTAATATGTACACTGGCTAAAGTGCACATTGTCTTTTTCTTAGGTCAACATGACGGCTCTGTCATAATAATTATAACAAAGAAAATGTAAACGCCAGGTAACAACAAATTTATCTCATTTGGAAGTATATGACAAATTGCTCTAACGCTACTTCCTAGTGCATGTCCCCGATATCTAGTGTCAACAGAGGTAAATCGTTGTCTTATTGTTGATTTTCTTTGTAAACTCGCACCGAATATCGAAAATCAAAGACTGATATACCTTTGTTGTTTGCAAGGAGTGATGAAGAGATATAAAAATTAAATACTAAAATAGCTTTTATAATGCAAATAAGGACATTATGTTAAACTGATTATAAAATATTTGATAGCTTACCATTGACTTCATCATTGTCCATATCTACAGCTTTAGAGAAAGAAAATCCAAACGACCTGAGTTCATCGCGAAAAGAGCCTGCCGCAATTCTTTGTGAAAAATGAGGCCACACACCGGTTTTACAACCATTATATATATAGATGGCGCCTCTCAGGTCATCCTCATAGGGAGCGCCAATCACTATATCTAAAAATAGCAGCCAATAAACACATAAAAATATATACCAAATCTAAAAATAGCAACAGTAATTGTGCAACGTATATGTGTATGTATTTTGAACGACACTGAAATGAAGCAACTGCGTTTACCATTAAGGCCATTTTGGTTTAACAAAACCATGGCAAAGCCTAAAAAGATATAAAAAAGTGAAAGCATTGAAAAGGGGTTATGAAACATGATCATATCACTTCACATACATACCGTTATACTTGTCTTTATTTATATCTCCTAAACTAGCCATTGCAGTGCCAAATCGCGCACCAGAACTGTCACTTCCGGTCAATGTGTATGTCATAGGTTGAAATGTCTAAAATAAGCAGAAAGTGTTGTAACCAAAATTAATTACAAGTAGAACTATACTATTATAATATAATGTTTAAACCAACAAAATATGGTTCAATTCAGGCGCATGCGCATGCCTGTCTGAAATAATGTGTTCAGGACACCTGAGGACTTTTTGTTGTTGTTGTTTTCTTTTTCATATATTAACATATTATATTAATAAATAAATGCATGTATCCATTTGGAAATTACATCAAAATGGATGATTATTTTCGTGGTAACTTACCATGGAATTTTGTCCAAGATATACAATAACAACTCCGGTTTCCTCGCGTTCACCTTTACTGTAAAATGGTGCCGCGACCAGGAGATCGTCCAGTCCGTCATTGTTCACGTCAACTGTACACAGAGTAGCCCCAAAGTAGCCATTCACTGGAATCTATTAAATGGAAGATATAAAAAAAGAAACTTATATGGATTATATTTTATATTCTACTAGTATTTAAAGCAGCACGCCTCCAGATTCGTGCTAATTTTCATGAAAATTTCGAAAATGTATTTGAATGTGTAATATTGTGAAATAACCAAAAGGAAGCAATTTACTCGTTATCAATGGCACTTACTACCACGTAAATTATCAAAATATGGTCAAAATATGCATAAATAGCCTTTACTGTGTAAGTAACGCAGTAGAAATATAGTTAGAAATACTGAAAAATCAGTCAATAATCGCACCTAATATGTAAAATATTACTTGAATCTTGAAACTTTTTACTTGTCCTTACATCTTAGAACATTTTTTCTCAAGTTTGATTTTATTGAAATATTTTGACTAATCTGGAGGCATTATTCATGATTCATTATGTTCTTTGTCTACGTTTTGGGTATATTTTTCTCTAACTAGGGTATATTTTTTCTGTTTTCGCGGGAATGTTATTTTAGCTTTATTCCCGTGCACTAGATATCCTGAAAAAATCCATCGACTCAGATTCAGTTCAATAGTATATAAGAAATTGACAAGTTTCTATTTTTGCGTTTCCTACTTTCGTTTTGAAAAGTCCGGTAACCGTAATATAACATTACCGTGAAATTGCGAAATTTGACAAACGTAAAACAACTGGTATACGGAATTTGATGCCTGGTTTTAAATATATTGATCTTTATTTAGTAAGTTGACATCCATTACTTGATATCTTGTCACCACAATTTTAAATAATGTTGACTGTATTCATGTACAGTCCCCGGAGAACGCATACTTGTATATAACAACAATCTACAGCGTACTGTAAAACTGATAATGTGACGCGTACAAGAGATTTTCATACTAACAAAAGGAAAAATTGGAAAATCAAATATATATATCAATTTAATTTTATTAAAGTTTTCTTTAGAACATTTAAATAAAAGTTGTACGAAAATTTCTGCATAAGTATTCGAGAACACTGTTTCTGAGTGGTTTCAACTGAAAGCCATTTGATGCCTCTACACGATACAAGTAACTTTTGTGTGAAACCCGAGCAGAGGTAAGAGATATTCCCCTATTTGCATTACAGTTTTACACCCAACGTAGTACATACAGCCTAACTTGTGATATAGAACAACCCTTTACAAAGACCGCGTACAACTTTTCTTTTCTTAGAGAAAACGATATATCGCTAGCTTACCTCAATCACTTCTGAGCCATTCAATGTAAGATCAGGGTCTTCAAGGATGAATTCACCTCGATTGGACCCATACAGGAATACCTGTAAGTAAACATGAATAATAATACGATTTCCAAAACAAAATTGATATAAAAACACATTAAGTAGGAAAGTTGTTTACTCACAATTATGTGTAGTTTTTTTGTTGTTATTTTGGTATGAATTAAAAATCAAAATGGTAGGTAGTAATTATTCGACAATCTGTGGGGGGACAAGAGGAAAATAAACAAACAAAACATATTGGGAAAGAGGATAGCCCTTTGATGAATATTCATTAGCCGCTATATATCCCGCACTTAAGGGTCGGCGTTATAAATAACAGTTAGTCAATATTTATTAACCTATAAAAATTAAGATAAACAATGTAGCTTCAATTGTACTAGTGTTTTTTTTTTCCAAAAAATAAATATCTGATAATTATTGCATGCTAATCTGCCATCCATATAATGCTAGTACAAATTAAACATAAAAATGCATAAAACATATGAACATGATCGAAGCATATATGAAAGAGGAAAAAAAACATTAGAAAAAAAATGTCACCTTAACACGCGACATAAACGTGATAGAACTCCATTAAAGTCCGGTTTAAACAACGGATATATGCTAAATTGGGCTTTTAAGGATTATATTGTCCTTTTTAAAAAGCATTTCGTTAACTAATTGTTTTTAGCTTATTTTATTTGTCTTTACATGTACCTTGTTTCTTTTCGCCAAATCATTTATTTGTGTGTTCGCATTTTCACAAAGTCGAGCCAAACAGCGAAAATAAGACAAAATCGGGCAAAAATATAATATTGAAATGTGTCGTGTTTTTGTTTATGTACATCCGTCTGTCATGTTTGTTTGTTTGTTTCTTTATTACAGTATGATACAACAAAGTTAGACTTTGCGATTGAATATTTTCGTGGCGAAAAAGGGAAACTACGACATGGTGTCAATTAGCCACCATAGCTTCTGCATAATTTTGTTACAGCATTACATTCTTATATAGTCGATCGGATAAGGAAATCTTTCAAAAGCTATCGAAAGTGCAAAGATCGTTTACTGTTTTCTACTGAAAATGCAAAAGTAGTTTCGAATGAGTTTGCAAAAGAGTCATTTTATTTATCGGGTGAAAAAAAAGTGCAACGATCATTTTATGTACTCGAGTGAAAGCACAAACTATTGTGGCGTTTATATGCAATAACCATTCTTTTAAGGTCCAAAGCGTGAAAAAAGGGAAGTTTTATTAAACGGGGTAGGAGTGCTCGATTTAAGTCAAAATTTTAGAGTAGAAAAATAGTTAAAGCAGCTACATATTCGAGTGTAGATCGCATGTGCATCCCTGGGAATCGTTGAAAGGCGGTGTTACCACTGTATCACAGACTATGCCACCTTAAAACAAATCTGTATACGAACTTAAAGTTCAATAATCTATTGTTGTCAAATGTCAAGGTAAAAGGCACAAATAAACAGATATTTATTGATTTTACATGTCGTCTGGTAAAAAGTATCTGGCATAGAAAGTTTGTTCACATATTAATTAAACTTTTCTAACAATTATTTCCATAAATTATCAATTACGTAATTCACTGCAGCAATTACTAAATGTTCGGAACCTTTGTTCACAAATCAATTTAATGACTCAAGCTTTAGTGTCATTTCTGTTACCACAATGACTAACTTTGGAATTTATTTTTCCATAGACTGAATTTAATGAGATACCTTCACGGAAATAGATAATTAAGGCAAAATAATTTGTTTCTTGTGATGTGAAAGCAGACACTTAATGTTCGAACATGAATTTCTCGTAAAACGCTTCGAATATGACTAGATGTACGGGGACTGCCAATTTGACAGAACAGACAGGAAATTTAGATAAGGTGAAACATCTAACTATTTCGGTGACAGGAAAATTTGAAATCAGTGACAGGAAACTATCATAAGATATGGCGGGTATAAGGTGACATAAAACAGTAAATTAAGTTGGAATGACAGGAAACAATTATATTTTCAGTTAGTCATTGACTCAGCCTAATGTGTCATCATATTAAATCACCTTTCTATCAACAGATAAAATTCCATCAGATCTCCTGCTGTTTGAGAATTTTATTACGTGATTCAAATGATTTGAACTGCTACAAAATGTACTGGCAAACACTTAAGATTATATAGAATTACCTGGAAATATCGCATAATGTGCTATAGCTTTTAAATACCAGTCTGCATAACTGATAATCAAATATGGTCCTTACGAGTTGAACAGACACATTTCAGACGCATCAACAAATTTTAAAATCTTGATCAGCTTTTTTTAAAGTTGTCGAGATAGAAACGGACAAAATATGCCGGACTTGTCCGAAATTATGTTAAATGCTATAACTTAGTATAAGCAGTTGTGGTTATATTAGACTTGAATTTATTTTCAGTTGATCTTATAAGACATATCATTAAGTCTCATCATTTCATCATTATGTGGGATGAACGTTTGGTCTACAAATCTTGATATGGGAGAGTTCGAATTCCGGATGAGGTACACGTGTTTCCGTGACGAATAGGTTGACATGACGATAATATAATTACCAGATTGTCATCATCATCAACGGCTGTTTCAAGTGGAGAGGTTGAACACAATTTCAGTAACTGAGGGAAAGAAACAAGGTAATACTGGTACGGAGTCCCGTGGCCCCTCATTAGGTAACTGCCCACCATTATATAAATGAGATACTATAAAATACTGACCGACCACTATGGTGGGAGCCGTTTAAAATATGAACGCCCAGCCAATGGATAAAGAATAAAAACATGTTGGCCAATCTTTAGGTTGCCCACAGCTGGGACAATTAGACAGACAGACGGGAGTAGGCAATCATTTCTCCACTTTTTCCATTCGCCGGATAGGGGGTGGGGTGGGGATGGTGGTGGCTAGAAAACCTAATATAAATTTGAAATGATTTTGTATGCATTTCTGTGCTGATGGTTAATAGTTTGTGTACCGATAACCTAACCTTGTTTGTAAAGCAATGTTTAGTTTTAAATATTGAAATCAATGCAGGCACTTCAGAGATAGCGATGATTTACTCCATATGTGTGTGTGTGTAGTTGTTGTTTTTTAATTTGTTCAATGGCTGGACGCCTATGTTTTTCATAAATATTACAAGATTTAGTTTTAAGTCAATAAGACCCAGTTCGGTTTGTATGATACCTAGGATTGTAATTGCAGAGGAAGACTACATGTGTTCCTTAATGCAGTATTTTAAAAACAAAAGTGTTCCCTCTATCCGTAATCTACTAAAAACTTTTGAAATTGCTTTGCCCAAATTTTTATTTAGAAAAGTCCATTCTATGTTTAAGAAAATATTGTACAAGAACAAGAATGGCTTTAATAGCGGGGTTTTTCCTGTATATATAAATATTGGTAAGTAGATAGCATTGTAAGACAATATGATGTTGCTACTGACTACAGAATAATTTCACCAATTTCACCTTAATTGCAATCCAACCAGTAACAGATTACAAATGAGAAATGATGGATTTTTTTTCGTTTTCTATACTAGTGATTTGTCATACTCGTGTGTTATGTGTTACTGGTGGAATTTAAATGACACACTTCAGTGACATGTTGTTTTGAGATGTCAAATAAATTTAGAGAAAAATAAATAACAGTGCCTTGTTTTCTAAGTTTTACGGAAAGAAGCTGCTACACTTGTCGTAAATATTACGGTATTTGATGAGAACTGAGATTGTAGACTATGGTTTTAGAACATGTGTTGCCAGGAGAATTCATCCATCCAGTCTATATAAATTAGCATTCTCCAAAAGGAAACTTCTACCTGGCAGCTACTCGGTATTTCTAATATTAAAACTATTCACCTTACAATTGAGAGTTTTTCATCAAAAACTGGACGTGTCCATTTCTTGTCACAGAGGGAAATGATGTTGAACATCTTTTTTTACATGATCTTACCTTACTTGAATAGTAACACGCGACATGAACGTGATATAACTCCATTTAAGTCCGGTTTAAACAAATGCTTAATTAGGCTTCGAAAGATTAAGGATTATATTGTCCTTCTTAGAAAGCATTTCAATAACTTAATTGTTATGCTTCTTTTATTTGCCTTTACATGTACCTTGTTTCTTATCGCCAAATCGTTTATTTGTGTGTTCGCATTTTCACAAAGTCGAGCCAAACAAAGCGAAAATAAGACAAAATCGGGCAAAAATATAATACTGAAATGTGTTGTGTTTTTGTTTATGTACATCCGTCTGTCATGATTGTTTGTTTGTTTCGTTTTTTTACAACATGATACAACAAAATTAGACTGTGTAATTTAACATTTTCGTGGCAGAAAAGGAAACTATGACATGGTGTCAATTAGCCACCGTACTTCTGCATAATTTTGTTACTACATTACATTCTTATATTTAGTTCATCGGATAAGGAAATCCTTCAAGAGCTATCGAAAGTGCAAAGATCGTTTACTGTTTTCGACTGAAAATGCAAAAGTAGTTTCGAATGAGTTTGAAAAAAAAGTGCAACGACCATTTTATGTACTCGAATTTTGGCGTTTATCCAGTCTATAATTAAGCAATAACCATTCTTTTAAGGTGCAAAGCGTGAAAAAAAAGAAAGTTTTATTAAACGGGGTAGGAGTGTTCGATTTAAGTCAAAATTTTAGAGTAGAAAAATAGTTAAAGCAGCTACATGTTCGAGTGTAGATCGCATGTGCATCCCTGGGAATCGTTGAAAGGCGGTGTTACCACTGTATCACAGACTATGCCACCTTAAAACCAATCTGTATACGAACTTAAAGTTCAATAATCTATTGTTGTCAAATGTCAAGGTAAAAGGCACAAGTAAACAGATATTTATTGATTTTACATGTCGTCTGGTAAAAAATATCTGGCATAGAAAGTATGTTCACATATCAATTAAACTTTTCTAACAATTATTTCCATAAACTATCAATTACGTAATTCACTGCAGCAGTTACTAAATGTTCGGAACCTTTGTTCACAAATCAATTTAATGACTCAAGCTTTAGTGTCATTCCTGTTACAACAATGACTAACTTTGGAATTTATTTTTCCATAGAATGTAATTTAACGAGATACCTTCACGGAAATAGATAATTAAGGCAAACGAATTTGTTTCTTGTGATGTGAAAGCAGACATTTACGAGGACTGTTCGAAAAGAATTGCTTATTGTCCTCTATCTCGTGATCCATGTTGGACACGATAAAAACCAATATACATACCTGTACCTACACAACGGTGTATAAATGTACATGTTAGACTAAGTGTAAGACATACAATTTGCCATTTAAATACACGCAGTCATTGACCACTGTAGTAAAAATGGTTGGTAGAAGCGTCGACAAAAAAGATGAAATACGGGCTTACATCATAGCTCTCTCAAAACTGGGTTGGTCTTTGAAGCAGGTCTCTACTGTTTATGGGCCTTCTTGTGTGTCTTATGACACAGTTAGGCGATGGAAAAGGAAATTTGAGTCTGGTGTAGAGTGCATCAAAAATGCACCAAAATCAGATAGGCTTAAATCTGCATCTCGTAACGAAATCGTTTCCAAAATAAAAGATATCATTGAAGGAGATGCCAGATGTACAGTTCGTGATATTGCACGAAAGGTAGGCATATCACTATCAACGGTTCACTTTATTTTGAACAGGAAAATTTGAAATCAGTGACAGGAAACTATCATAAGATATGGCGGGTATAAGGTCACATGAAACAGTAAATTAAGTTGGAATGACAGGAAACAATTATATTTTCAGTTAGTCATTGACTCAGCCTAATGTGTCATCATATTGATCACCTTTCTATCAACAGATAAAATTCCATCAGATCTCCTGCTGTTTAAGAATTTTATTACGTGATTCAATTGATTTGAACTGCTACAAAATGTACTGGCAAACACTTAAGATGATCTCGAATTACGCATAATGTGCTATAGCTTTTAAATACCAGTCTGCATAACTGAGAATCAAATATGGTCCTTACGAGTTGAACAGACAAGTTTTAAACGCATCAACAAATTTTATAATCTTGATCAGCTTTGTTTTAAAAGCAGCCGAGACGGAAACTGACAACATATGCCGGTCTTGTCCGAAATTATGATAAATGCTATAACTTCGCATAAGCAGTTGTGGTTATATGTGACTTGAATTTATTTTCAGTTGATCTTATAAGACATATCATTAAGTCTCATCATTTCATCATTATGTGGCTACAAATCTTGATATGGGAGAGTTCGAATTCAGGATGAGGTACACGTGTTTCCGAGACGATCAGGTTGACATGACGATAGTATAATTATCAGAAGTTCATCATCATCAACGGCTGTTTCAAGTGGAGAGGTTGAACACAATTGCAGTAACTGAGGGAAAGAAACAAGTTAATACTGGTACGGAGTCCAGTGGGCCCTCATTAGGTAACTGCCCATCGTTATACGAATGAGATACTATAAAATACTGACCACTATGGCGGGAGTCAAATACAAATGCCAAATAAATGAATAAAAGCATTATGGCCAACCTTTTGGTTGTCCTCAGCTGGCACAAATTGAAAGAAGAACAGGAGAAAGCATGTCTCGATTTTTAGGTGGGGTGGGGTGGGGGTGGTTGTGGCTAGAAAACCTAAAATAAAATTGAACTGATTTTGTACGCATTTTTGTACTGATGTTAATATTTCATGTACCGATAACCTAACCTTGTTTGTAAAGCAATGTATAACTTCAAATATAGTAAATCAATACAGGCACTTCAGAGAAAGAGATGATTTACTCCATGTGTGTGTATGTGTGCACGCGCGCGTGCGTGCGTGCGTGCGTGTGTGTGTGTGTGTGTGTGTTTTAAAGTTGGACGCCGGTGTTTTCAAAAGTATGAAAATCATATTTCTTTCTTATTTAGTTTTTAGTCAGTCAGATAAAGTTCGGTTTGTATGACAGCTAGGAATGTAATTTCAGAGGAAGACTGCAGGTATCTCTTCGTGCAGTATCTTAAACACAATCTACTTATTCTAAATGCTGTGTTCTCATCGCCGATCAGATCCACTCGATCAAGCACGATCAAACGATCGGGTACCGGTTTAGCTCGGTCTGCATGCGTGATCGGGGGTGGTCGAAGCGGTCTACCTTGGTCGGCATGGCTCGGGCTTCCACCCGAATTTTTTTGACATGTCAAAAAAAAGAGTAGCGATTGGGTAGATAAGCGGTCGAGAAGTGATCGAGTAGAAGATCTAGTTGATCGAGAATAAATCGTGTAACGATCTAGTTTGGTCGGTTATACATCGGGTATACATGATATTACCCGATCTGTACACGATCATCTCGACTTCTACTCGAGCATTATCCGATCGCACCCCGATCAACTCAACCTCTGTTCGATCTATTGTTCAGAATAACCAGACTATTACCCGACTGCTACACGACCACACACAATCGCTTCCCGATAGTTATTCGACCATACACGAGTTCACGTGACCTAAACAATATATAGATGTAAACTTATTGTTGGTGTCTCATTAGCTGTTACAAATTTGAAGAGCAACTTCCGAATTCTGTCAACAAAAATGCCCAGAAAAGGCAAAAAGGCAACATGCAGTACGAGTAGTAGGACTATCTGGACCACAACTGGAACTGCTAATCTCCATCATGAACTGATTTGAACTAGGAATGTTTGAAGATTTTATTCTAAACAATTCGATACACTCGATTACGATCATTACGATCTGGTCGGGTGGAAATCTTGCAACGATCGAACAGAGGTCCAGTTAGTATAGTTGAGATCGTGTATGACTCGCGTATAAGTCCGGGTGATCGAGAAGAAGTCGGGATGTTGGTCGGGTTGTCGTCGAGATGAAGTCGTAAAACATCGTGTAGGGTCGACTTGAGGTCGTGTAGGAGTCGTGAATGTGCATTTAATCCAGCTTGTTCGGGCTTCATCGGGGAATTAATGTGATCGGGACGATCGAGTTGATCTGATCGGCGGTGAGAACATAGCATATAATATACTAAAAACTTTTGTAAATTCTTTGCCCAACTTTGAATTTATAAAAGTCCATACTATGTTTAAGAAGGGATTTCAGTATCAAAACACAAAATATTGAACTCCCAATAGTAAAGCTGATGTGCAGGCCAGCTGTGCTATATACTGCATGTTGGAAAAGGTTAATAACCTTTTGTTTCATCAAGTTAAGAGTAAAAATAAACAGGGAATGATGTATGAAGTTAAGAACGTGTGCAACCGAGATATAAAGATTTACTCGTACATGCATGGACCAGGGTTCACGTGTAACGTAGAATTACTATCTGTCACTCCACGAGTAATGTGCCATGTGAGAAAATAGTTACATGACAAAAAAACCCACAGTTCTTCGTGTTGTTTTGGCGTCATACCAAAAGTTAAAAAAATGACAGTGCCGCAGGTACTTTGCAGACTGGGTAATAGAATTAATCACTAACCTTCCCAGTAAGATGATCTCGTGGCGCTCCTATAGCAAACATGATAAAATCCCCGCCAAAATATTGCCCACTTGTTATTGCATATCCTGTAAAAACAAAGCAAAATTTATTGTACTAGGCTAACCATAGAAATATGCGATTTGCACAATTTAAGGCCGATTTTTAATAAATATCACAACCCAAATAGTTTTGTGGTGATTTTAATATGATTGACAATACTAATAATATCAAAATAATAGAGTTATTTGCCTTCTCATTTCCAAATTGTGTTCGTGCACACAACCACAACCCGCAAAATTATTTAAGGATTGCCTTAAACCATTTCATTTGTAACCTTATATGTTTTAAATAAGTTTTTAGCGTAAAGTTTGATGTTTTGTCATTTTTTTTAAACTGATAACGTATTACTAATGAAAATTTATCTTTTTTTATCTTTAATTAGTCAAGATTAAAAATTAGGTCATATATATACATGTAGTATTTATCATCCAGAATCATATATATATATGCATTAATTAATGCGCTAGGATGTGCAAACTGGCTGGGCAAAGGCTAATCACTGGTGGTGGTGTTGGTAGTTTTCACTCCGGATCACGGCAGTAAGCCACAGCACAGTTTAACCACCGCATCGTTCCTGGGCAGGCTGTCAAGCAGTTTACCAGTACTAGTTGCCTTCACTTTCGCTAGGAACTGATAACTTATGTACCTGCCAGAGGAGAGATACAGCACAAAATGTAGAAAGAGAATTTCATGATCAGCCACAACGAAAGTGACCTGCACCGTCTGGGAATCGAACCCGGATCACCCGATTCACAGTCCAAGACTCTACCTATTGAGCTAACCGGACAGCTAAAGGCTAATTACTTAGTATGCAGAAATATTAAGCGTCACATTGTTTGGATATGTTTCATTAATTCGTTTTATTTTCGGTAGAATACTTTCAATGTATCCAATGTCAAAACAAATATAGATTAAAATATTGCTTGTATGAGTGCAAATGTATGTGTGTACATTTGTTGAAAGAAACTATTTGTTATTCTTTTTTTTCTAAATTGACAGCGGTATTTTACCAAATAGCTTATATTATGTAAATATATCATTGAAACAAAACAAACAAAAAACATTTATAAATGAAAAGTTTCGACATATAGAGGATAATGCATTTTCCAGTATTCCTCAACATGTTGATCATATCTAATAAAAAAATTACAGTTAGGTTTGAAATTGACATTTAGTATTTAGTTTAAGTAGGAAAATGCACTAAATGTAGGCTTAATCTGTATATAATTAAATCTTTATGTATGGGTTGATAAATATTTTTAGTAAGCTTTATTGGAACTGAATTATATGTCTGGCGTAGTGATTTAATGACAGTAATTATTAAATACAATAATTATACACTCTATGTACATGTAAGTAAATAACTAAATGAAAAGAAAGAACGGAATACAGTTAAAAACGTGTACTTCGTTTCATAAATAATATATATATTTATATACGGATGTTGCTAGGTGCTAGATACATGATCCGATTTGACATATCAAAATATAGCAGACAGAACAAAATATCATTATTCATCATATAAGAACTCTGATAACATTTTGTTTTCCAGATATATTTCATAAGAATATCCTTTCCTCAATATCTGAAATACTTGTGGAGAAGACCAATCCACTTAAATTCCATGCAAAACGTTATATTAGTAGCTGCTGCAATGCAATGTTACTTAAAATGTGAACTTAATCTAATTTTAAAACTCACCCGCCATTTCGTTCCTCTCTGTGGGTGGTTTTATGTTCTCTGTAATCAATGCATCAGAAAGGTGCAGGTCTATAAAGCCGCCTGTAAAATACCACAAGCCCGGGGCCCCTAATAATAAATCTTTTCCCTGTAAAAATAATAATAGTATATCTTTAAGATGAAATGTTGCTGTTGTTTAATGCTGTTGTTGTTGTTATTTTTTTCTTCAAGTTGAGTTTTAATTCACATCGTCACTGTACAAGTCAAATTGCGACTTAATTTGACCTTAATTGTCAGCCCCTGCATAATTCCATGCACCGGTAGAGCGTAAGCAAGCTTTATAGCTGTATACAAAAAGTCTTGAGAGAGATTTGAACCCACCGCGGCACAGTTAGTGACCTTTTTTATACAGCAATTGATGAATATATATCCATGTGATACAATATATATCTCCATATTTCAATCAGGATAAGTAATTCTTCTACATCAAAATAATTAACATAAGGCCAACAATTAATTAGAAAAGTTTGTAATGTGTTGCTTTAAGATATCATGATAAGTTGCTACAAAAATATGTATCAGCCCATGAATAAATTAACCAATTTCATCTGACTTACAGTCCAACCTGGAACAGATTACAAACTAGACCTATCACTAAAAGTGATTAATACCCCAACCAGCGACTTTGACTTTTTGAAAAATAAGTGGTCTGAAGAAATATTTGAAGTCAACCTATAGTAAATGAAGAATCAACTGTGTACAAAGAATTATTTCAATTAATTGCATTCCCAACCTGGATCTTCTGATCAGCTTGCTATACACCAAGTTTGATTCCTAATTCTAGTTATTATCCGGAAACCATTTTTTCTATTTTTAGTTACCGTGACCTGGACCTTCACCCCAGTGGTCCAAGTGCAATACCAACCGGGGTTTTCATATAAGCTTGCTATACAGCAAGTTTGATTATAAATCTCATTCCTAACTATAGTTATTGTCCGGAAACCATTTGTCTATTTTTTGTAACGGTAACCTTGACCTTCATCCCAGGGGGTTCAAATGCAATAACAGCCGGTGTCTTCATATTTGCTTGCTATTACAATATCTCATTCCTAACTCTAGTTATTGTCCGGAAACCATTTTTCTATTTTTATTAACAGTGACCTTGACTTTGATTCTAGGGCGTCTAAATGCAATACCAACCGGGGTCTTCATATTAGCTTGCTTTAAACCAGGTTTTGTTACAATACCTCATTCCAAACTCTAGTTATCGTCCGGACACCCTGATATGGACCGACGGACCGACCGACCGACAAGCTCATGAAGCTGACTCTTATATACCCCCCTTAACTTCGTTTGTGGGGGTATAATAAGAAATGATGGTCTTTTGTTTTCTACACTAGAAAATTATGTCATACTCATGTGTTATAATTTAAATAGCACACTAAGGTGACGTCGACATGTTATTTTGAGATTTCAAATAAATTTTAATAAACAACACTGTCTTGTTTTCTAAACATTACGGAAAGAATCTGTTACTCGTAAATATTATATTACATGTGAACGTCCTGAAGGTAGCTGATATCGCAATAAAACATGTATTGCCAGGATATATTAATTACCAGATCCTGTCTATATAAATTAGCTTTCTCCAAAAGGGAACTTTTACCAGGCAGCTACTCAGTATCCCTCATATTAAAACCAATGACTTTTAACAATGGAGAGTTTGTCTTTAAAAATTGATGACATCATTTTCTAGTAACAGAGGGAAAAGAGGTGGAACTTCTTTTTTCATGATCTTACCTTACTTGAATAGTGTACGGATGAACCTAGAGCGCCCATACCATAATTGAGTTTTGTAATGTTTGTTCTGGGATCAGTCATTGTTTGCTTGTCAAGCCCAACAAGCCCGGGGATCTTCTTGATGTTGTTTTTGTTGAAATCTAGAGGTATTTCATAGCACAGTCCATTCATGTAGTAGATCTGAGCAACTTCAAATTGTTTGTTATACCAGCGATTAGCGCATGTCTGTAAAACATATTTAACGCCCTTAAATAAGTCTTTCATGGCATTTTAACTGAGTTCTAATAGTACGTGTTGATAAAGTTAGAACTTTCCGCTCATAATCAATCCGAACTCTGACATTGTGTCAGAATAGTAAATAAACTAAATTAATTGAAAAAAAGCCTTTATTAATGATACAAAAACGTATTACTCAATGCACCAAGATATCTTTAATAAATGTAATTATTTTAAAGATATACTATGCTCAAATTTGATTTTTGAAAATATTAATAATTGTTACACAGTCTCTTTGTATGTATAAAATAAACATGTTTCTACTTCATTTAAAGTAGATATGTTATGTTTTGAACTCTACACACTATAGGTGGTCACAATATGAATATATAGTGTCATTAAAAAACTGGCAGTTTTTTAAGAAAATGACCAACTATACTTGACCCGTAAAAGGGAATGCAGCTTTCCATACATAATTTATTCATTCTTTTATTAAAATCAAACATATTCAGTCAGAATTTCATTGATTTCAATACATTTCTAAGATAGAAATATTTTACCAAAAGATGAGCATAGTACATCTTTAAGAATGTCAAGTCACCGCTAAGCTTCGGAAATCGTTGACGGGTTTGTACGAGCTATTAATGGTACATTAGGGCTCACATAGCTAGTCTAGTTGGCATGTTTGAGCTTGGTTATTAAACGCTTAATAAATAATCAGAATTAAACATTTTACCACAATGCCTGCGTCTTTATTAACATCAAGAGAAGCTCCCAGCCATTGACCGTCTCTACCATGTGTAAATATTCTATTCTTGCCGTTAAACTGTGCCGAATCACCTTCGGTTTTGTCTGAAGATAATTCACACAAACACAAAATATGTAAAAATTTAGGAAAAGGGAGCAAGGAGAAAAAGCTGGAAAGACTGATTGCAGAAGTACTAAACGTACTTTGATTTTTAGATACCAATATTCTGTCTTTATACCATTTAATGGCTGACTGAATGGACAGACAGACGGACAGACAGACATGCCAATATGTAGGGTTTATGGACTTTCTATTTGATATTTATGTGCCATTGTCCTAATGAACGGACTTGGATGGAAAGACGAATAAAGGGATAGATGGATGAATGGCCGAACGAACATACAGACGGACGGACGGACGGATGGATAGATTATTCTTAGTCACGACGTCAATATTACATTCACATAGTAATAGGAAAATATACAAGTTATGTGAAAGGTCACTATATAGCGACCTTACATGAACCCTCCACCTCCTATAGGCAGCATTTTATACGCAATCGGGCACTTCCGTATTTAACGACCGGCGACTTCCGATAACTGGCTTTACAGGAAAAGCAAAACAACACTTCTATAGCGGGATTCGAACTCATACTGAGAATAAAACGTTTTTTAATACTTAATGTAATCGTGACAATTACGACGAAATGCCCTTTCCATATACATGTATATGTTATTTATTTGTGTAACCATTCGATACAAATTGGGAAGAGTAAGTAGCGTGTGAATTATGGGTGATGTTACTGATTGACAATATCATAATTGAGGGGAGGGGTCAAAGTCGGTACTTATACTACGGAAAGAGATCATTAAAATGTGTCGAACACTCTTAATTATCTATATAATAAACAATACATCCCACTTTGGTGAATTAACAAGCGAAGCAAACAATACAGTTTTCATTTCATATTGTTATGCTAAAATGAGATATATTATTGTATAAGATTGGGTTGATATTATGCTAGAGTGTCAAAACGTATCATCCTATTTCCTTTGTTTTCGGTTTCGAGAGACAACTTCCAAGTTAGTTTCATAATTCTCAAGTTAGTTTCATAATAAAGTTTCTGAAGTGTTAAAAAAAGGTTCACTGTTGAGTTTGACATTTTAATAAACATGTTATTTAATAATAATCGCATGATGCGGTGATTTGTACCTGAGGTTCCTCAGCCGTCATACGCCAGTAACATGCTTTATTGACAGTAACGCACTGTGCGTTATCTTAGAAAAAGTGTGCCCTATTTCAAATAAAGTACAGTTATGCAAGGATTTACGGCCTCGATCATTTTCTATAGAGCAAAACCTTCGATGTCACCCAAGGCCATGATATGTTATAGAAAGAGCATCGAAACAAGAGGCGAGGGGGCGTAGCCCCCGAGTTTTAATCAAAGTGCCGAGTGTTTTGATGTTCTTTCTCTTTTGTATCATATAGTCAAACATAAAAACACGTGTCTTATTGTCACAATATGAAAACCCGAGAAAAAAAGTAACCAATCAACGAGCATCTGGATATGATATTTCTATCGCTTTCTCTTGTTCTGCAGTCACAATAAGTAAACCCCAGCAAAACTGAGTCAATCAATGGGCATGCTCTGAAGTGCGGGTAACAAATACCTGCACTCCAGTTATTGCACTGTGCATGCATCTGTATACGATTTAACTCTGACACATTTTCAACAGAAAGGTCCCCAAACTATGATACAATTCAATATTGTATCATAGTTTGGGGACCTTTCTGTTGAAAATGTGTCAGAGTTAAATCGTATACATATACATGCACAGTGCGTTAACTGGAGTCCGCACGCCAGAGCGTGCCCGTTGATTGGCTCATTTTTGCTGGGGTTTACTTAATGTGACGGCAAAGAGAGGGAAAGCGACAGAAATATCATATTCAGATGCTCGTTCATTGGTTACTTTTTTCTGGGGATTCATATTGTAACAAAGGGAACGTTTTTTATGTTTGACTATGATACAAAAGAGAAAGAACATCAAAACACTCGGCAATCTGATTAATACTCGGGGGCTACGCCCCCTCGTACAAATCAGATAGCCTCGTGTCTATTACTAATTTGTAGGAGCAGTAGTCCAGTGGTAGGACGCGCGCTTAGGGATCGAGAGGTCCCGGGTTCGAACCCCACCAGGGGCACTGCTAATTTCCTTGAGCAAGAAATTTACCTGCGATTGCTTCACTTCACCCAGGTGTAAATGGGTACCTGCGAGGGTGGTATAATTCCGTTGCGCCAAGTGTCGGCTGCACTAAGCGGAGTTAAAAGACTCCCCAGGGAGATTGATAGATAGATACCAGTAGCCCGATGACCAGGGGTAATAGCTGTAAAGTCGGTGAACGTGCGTAAGCATGAAACTTAGACTATAAAATGCAATTACTTACTTACTTACTAATTTCACTGTTAGTTTGCTGTCGGCAACAGTATATAAATAACATTTGGGTTTATGAGTAACCATCCCGAGAAAAATACTGTTACCCGAGGCATAAGCCGAGGGTTACAGTATTTTACGAGGGGTGATATTTTTACTGTTACTCACAAACCAATGTGCTATTAATTTTAATACCCCGAACAATAACTTTTATAATTTTATTCTTTTTTCTTTAGAAAATAGACCACGTGACCAGATGTTATACTGTTAAAACTGCTGTAACAGTACAAACTTCTTAGTCACGTTCTACACTGGCAACCGAGCACTCACATCATGGTCTGCACTGTGCACTATATAGTCAGTCAGTACATTTTTTTTAATTTACCTAAAAAAGAACAATGGTTTTGTCCTGATTGAAAGATGGGCGTGTCCATTTATGATATTTTGCATAGTAAGGGTTAATTGGAGCTACATTGTGAAACAATATTAATCATATTCGAGCTCTAATATGGTATAAATCAGCAGAGGACGGATGACAAAATGGTTGTGACCAAGTTCTTAGTGACCGGTTTCGAACTCACTTTAATTGGGTGGGGAGAGGCAAATATCTTAACCATTAGGCCATCGCTCGCTTAACCATATGAAATTGCGGTTGATTATTTTGTTAAGTTATTTTTTCATTCTGTTTTGTTAAATCCTGATACATAATGATTTATGCTAGAGGCTTAATGACCCTCAAAACAAGGTCTTACAGTTTTTGAAATGTGTACAGTATACGGTATGTATTTCGACTCTTCCTTTTAAAAAGGACTGATATTAATTATGGTTTTGCTGTATCTGAACTTTACCATATATATGTATATTTTATCTTTACGACAAGCTCATATTTCACTGTATCCTGTGTACTCAGGCATGTCACAAAACATTGCTATGTATATAGCTGGTATGGTACGTGTGTAGGCTACTATTTCTTGATTCGTAAAACTTTATACTTGTACTTAATTTACAGGACAGAACATGTTCATAGTTGTTTTTTCTGTGCATATTTTTCCTTGTTTCCCCTGGGGAAAGGGTTACTCTGTTCTTATATTTGACACGAGCAGAAACTTGTTTAGTTAAGAATTATTGTAACTGGGTCACATTATGACTTTAAGATGTTCATTTTTTTAATAAATATACATATACATGTATACAAATAAATCGTTGAAATAATGACATCTGATATACAGCACAAAATAAGACAATAAAATCATTATCTTTCTATCAATACACCTAATCAACGATATCTTATTATCAATACACATAATTAACGATATATTATTATAAATAAATATAATTGACGAAATCGCATTATAAATACACATAATTTACGATATCATATTATCAATATACATAATTAACGATATGTTACTGTCAATACACATAATTAACGATATCTTACTATCAATACATGTACACATAATTAACGATATCTTACTATCAATACACCAAATCAACGATATTTTACTATCAATACACATAATCAACGATCTCTTACTATCAATACACATAATCAACGATCTCTTTCTATCAATACACATAATTAACAATATCTCATTATAAATACATATAATTAACGAAATCGCATTATAAATACACATAATCAACGATATGATATTATCAATACACATAATCAACGATATCTTTCTATCAATACAACTAATTAACGATATGTTACTATCAATGCACATAACCAATGATATCTTATTATCAATACACATAATCAACGACATCTTATTATCAATACACTTAATCAACGATATCTTACCATCAATACACCTAATTAATTATCTCTTATTATCAATACACATAATCAACAGTCTCTTATTATCAATACGCATAATAAACGATATCTTACTATCTATACACTTAATAAATGATACCTTACCATCAATATACACAAAAAAGAAGCTTATATCGTTCCTGTACAATAATACTCGATAACGCACAGTTATCAATACTTTACGATCAGTGCATAAAACACTAGATATATACTATTTGATATATGCCTTCAATGCCTCAAATAATAGATATCTTACAATCAATTCATGAAATAATCAATGAATGCTTTCATTATTGCAGTAATACAATCCGTGCAGATATCTTACTGTTGACATCTTACCTCAAATGTACAAAATTATCGATATGCTACTCAAACAATGCACATAATCGTCAATGCGCAAAATTTCACCATCAGTACACAAAATCTTATCATCAAGGTTGAAAATCAGCGACATCTTTTATCAGTGAACAAAATAATCTTCTTTATCTTACATTTATTGCACACAATTATTGAATTGATAAAAAACTTAATGATGTGAATATCTTACCATCAATAAACAATTCCTCGCAGCTGCGACTACTGAAGTCTGAGGTAAAAGTACATTTATATATAGCACCGGGTCTATCTGCATCAGGAAGAAAGTGGCTGTTGTCTTTAGGAGCACCTAGTAAAATCCTGCAAATATAAACAACAATTGATTTGGTGATAATTTGGTGATAATTTGGTGATAATTTGGTGATAATTTGAAAACAGAATATTTTAGATTAGAATGACATCCCTAGTAAAATGGGTCTTTATTTTCCTTGGAGGAGAGAGAATGGACCGAAGTATGTGTGTGGATGGGAAAGGGGGGCTGGTAAGGTTGCTAAATTAAAAGCAATAGGTAACGGCTATTTGGGCTCTAATCTCGTGAAAGGCGTGGGTTTTTTTCATGTGAAGAAGCTATCCATCTAGTTGATGGAAGGTCCTTTTTCAACTCGGCTGTCATCTTGTCTTTGAAAAAGTGCAATCGTAAATGAATCAGAAAACTTCGAATTCCTCGACCAGTAAAGCAAAAAAACAAAAACAAAAAACTTGCCATATTGCATTTACAGTGTCGATGTGACATGAAGTACAACAGGACAGTTAAGCAAAGTTTACCTTGCCAGCTCTTACTGGCTGATATGTTCCGTCGCTAAGTATGGTGTGATTGCCTGATAGGTACAATGGCATGTCAATTGGGTCTATGTTTTGAATTTGGAGAAGTCCACTGTAAAAATGAGGGGATTTTAATATGAAAATGTAAAAACAAAATCAGCAGCCGACATTATAGACGCTGGTTAAACTGAACAAATGTATAATGTAACATCAATGTTTTTATTGCAGGAAATGTTAGTACGAATTTGAACAATGTGCCCCAGCACTGCTACATACATGTACGCAAATGCAGTCTCCTACGAACAATTGTGAAAATCCTCGAATAAGTGGCAAAGACCATACATACACACGTTTTCAGAGTGTATGTTTTAGACAGACATTATCAGAAAATCGTTAATGCTGATACAAGAAAACGCTAGGAATTATTGAAATTCTTTTATATATCTCATTCTATATAGCCTACAGGTGCACTTTAAACATGTAACTATTGTAAACTGTTTATCTGGAATCATGTTGCAAGGAAAAGAATCAATTTGTATGGATAAAATGGTCTGGTATTTGTTTATACTCAAATTACAAATCTGTTTAAAAATGAATTCAAGAAGATAATATAAGTTAAGAAGACAATAAACAAGTGCATGTGTACATGGGTGCTGCTTGCTCTATCTACATATTTTAAGCACATACGTTGCGCAAATATTTTTTGTAGGTATATAAATATATGCTTTAACTTATTTTGGAATTAACCAAAACTCTCCATCTTATCATAAAAGAAACGAGCTGCTTCGGATCAATGTATAATAATCGAAAACTAAACACGTAAACAACCATCTTCCCCATTAGCTCTTTCTCGAAATTTTGACATAAAATAGAGGAAAATTATGCTGACACTTAAAAAAGTACTTTTCTTTAAGTGGAAGTCTAAGGAAACAATTCATATTACTCGGAACTGGTTATCAAATGGGAAATGTTATCTTGAAGGTTTTTGGTAACAAGATAGACTTTGTTGATGTTTTATTTCAAGAATATAATAAAGCAAAAATATGAAGGGTTTATGTAAATTTGAGTATTTTAAGACCTTAGAGAATTTTTTACTCAATTGAGACCGGGCGGGAAGGGGGTGTGGGGGGGGCGGTCCGGCCGATAAAATCCTTTGAACATTTCTTTCGGAATATGGAAAAATTATCAATCTAAAGCAAGTTATATCGATGCACACACAAAATATTAATAAGTATTGCCGTAAATTTCTACTTAAATTGTCAGCCGCAATTACTGACAATGAAATAAATAAGTTATTTTGACTGATTGTGGGCAGACAAGTTATACAAACACGATCGTATGAAGGTAAATGGAGGGATGGACGGACGAACGAATAAAGAACGAATAAAAAAGTCAATTGCTTGGTCAATCAATCAATCAATCTATACCAATCATGATATAAAATCAAACCCTAAAAGTTATAAGGCCTTAGTTTTTATTGCCTTTGGATCGTACAATAAACAAATCATTTATGTGTTTAGCCTTGTTGAGGTCGAACTTTATCACGCAGTAAACAGTCTTTTATATTTATTACTTTCCCGCATCTGTAATGTTGCCATAATTAAACAATTTGTTGTATTGACTTTACATCCTATCCCCTCCTTTCCTTGTATTTAATACTTCAATAGTACTATAAACTGGGTTTTTATTTCGGTGAGAAATTTCCTATGGGATAGCACATTTTTACCTATCCTTCCAGGTTTATCTGACTAATATTAACGCTTCATAATAAAATGAAAAATGCCAAACCTAAGGTAAACGCGGATATTAATCATTCAGTTATTTATTATTAGTTAAAGTGCGGTCGTAATTAATACAATTATCTCATTTCGTTAATAAGGGTTTAAATTTAGATATAAACTTTGTCACATATCCAACTACATGTACTTATAATGTATGATATTTTAAGTTTTACGACCGCCATATATATTAACATACTATAGATGTTTATTAATATATGAAACTGCGTATAATTTATATTGATTTATATTAATACAGTATAACAGAATGTAGTAAAACTATGTGTATTGATTTTGAACTTCTCGAAATGGCCGTCCTGTTTTTTTTTACATACATTATATCATTTGTCAAAAAAAGTTTTAAATGGTGGACACTAACGTCTTTAAGGTAACACTTAGCTGAGTAAGTTATGGAAAATTCAATGTACCCATAAATATTTAGTACTATGTTGAAATCCACTGAAACATCGATGACTAAATGTCATCGGAATATATTTAAATTTGTCTAAACAGACAAAGAGAGAGATAAATAAAAGAATGAACAAATCATTAAAAAGTGTCAGTCAGATCACTGAATCATATATCTTAGTAAATGTTCTAATATTTCTAAAAAATGTTTTACTGTTATCACCACCACTGCCCCTATCACCTTCATCAACAACAACATAGACAATGATAACAACATTACTGCTTGTAACAGGAATTAGCGTTATACATATAACCTTAGAGAATTAATGTTACACATAAAACTTAACAGAATTAATGTTATACACATAACTTAAGACAATTTATGTTTTACATATAACCTCAGAGAATTTATGTTGTACATAATTATAACCTTAGAGAACTAACGTTATACATATAACTTTAGAGAATTTATGTTATGCATATAACCTAAGACAATTAATGGAACACATATAACATTAGAAAATTAATGTTATACATATAACCTAAGAAATAAATGTTACACAAATAACCTTTAATTAAAGAATTAATGTTATTCAAATAACCTAAGACAATTAATGTTACACATATAACCTTAAAGAAATTATTTTATACACATAACCTTACAGAAATATAATGTTATACATATAACCTAAGACAATTAATGCTATACATATAACCTTAGACACTTACTATTACACATAACCTTAGACAATTGATGTTATACATATAACCTTAGAGAATTAATGTTATGCATAAAACCTTAGACAATTTATGTTATACATATAACTTTAGACAATTAATGTTACACATATAACCTAAGACAATTAATGTTACAAATAATGTATACAAATGACATATGACAGATTACTGTTGCTCGGCTCATTAACCCGAAAAACACTCGAGGTTTAACTTAAGTAGGCGAGGGGGTATTCATTTTAGGCAAAGTTGTGGATTTAACATTACACGTAACAGCTATTATAGTATCTTATTTAGTTGTGATAAATGGTATAATACTCGTATCAGGGTATACAAAATTATTGTTATGAATGTTTTATACATGTAAATAATGCTTTGTAAGTACATGTAGGAACGTATGCATTATTTAACAATCGTCGCATTAATGTTTAAAATTATGTAATTAAATACACAAGTATGGAGAAAAAAAACATTCAGCATGAAATATTGGACGACAATTTTTACACTAGCCTGATACATGTTTACTGTTGCGATAAATATTCATTTTTTTATTCTTTATAACAATTAAAGTAAAAAGTCAAAAGACATGTTAACCTCACATTTATCAAGCGGTGGCTTAACTAATTGGTATATATATACATTAGATGTACATTTGTCATACAGAACACACTTGTTTATATCTGGCCTGACTTTAACTGAACCTTTGTTTAGCGATATTTACCGGATTTCAAGTTTGTTATAAGCGGATTTTATAGTACATTTGTATATAATGTGTTAAGGAACATTTTACTCATTTTAAATAATTTACTGAAATTTTAATGTTATGATAAGCTCTTCAGGTCGTGGGCTCAAACCACTGGAATGCAACACCGCCTTCTCCAACCAGTTACTAGTAATGATATCATCGTTCAATGTTTGTATCAAATTTCTATAAGGAAATAAAAATAAACAGGAATAAACACAAGCATGATGTAATGTTATCAACACATTTATAACATATTATTTATTCGAAAAACTTTGCCATTTTCTGTGTTTCCGAGTTTCTTGTTTATTTATATGTTTTTAGGTAACAAGATGTAAATAGTATTGTTCAAAGTCATATCGACACTTATTTGATTTTTATTACGCACGGAAAAAGGCGAAATTTCCCGATTTTTTAACGAGATTGTCAATTTTGAATATTATACTCACCATCTATTTTGGTCACTTATGTTCAGCATGGCGACTGTGTAGCCAAAGTAACTTCCGGCATTAGGTCCATCAAGTTCTATTCTACTATCAGTGTCCAGATTAAATCCATTTATTGAATGAAACAGCGTTAAATAAAGCATTAATTTAACCACCACGAAAGAGCTATAGCATCGGAATGGTAATAGACCTGAAAATGACTTTGAACACATTATGGTGGAATTAATTAACACCGTATCACGTGGGTCACTCTTTTTAACTTTTGAGCTATTTTTCACCGCATCACAGCCGTCACAAAATTCAATTTCAAACAATTTTTCATTCATATCCAAACATACACGTATTTTAATTACGTTTATTTAATATCCAAATACATCAAGTTTCATAAAAATCGCAGCTTTACTTTTGTGTAGTTGTAATCCAACCTGGGTAAAAATATTTCATAAACTGTGTCACGTTTGATATTAATACATCGGGTACTCCAACTATGACATATATACACCCTTACCAGATATTAAAATATCCAAAAACGTTAAACTCGCATCGACTTTAAGCCCCCGCTTGTTTACATTTTATCCGTAATCCAAATATTGTCGCGTTCCTTTTTCTAATGTCAAGTATGAAATTTTTAACCTAGATTCAAGGACTTTAAACAGTCGTTTTATATAAGTATAAATAAACCACCTTGCATTAAATTGTAACTATATTACACAGGTATAACTTACATATCTGCTTTATATCAGAATTTAATCAAGTACATCGAAAGTTAAAGCAACAACATTGGTGGTTTTACACGCCAGACTATCACTGCACTACATTTAATAGTAAGGTATAATTATAAAGCCGATGCAGTACATTGTATATATTAACGCAAACAATTACTGCGCATTAAATAACACGCTTTCAATATCTTATATTGATCTCAAGTAAACAAAATATACATATAAACATATACAGTCCTCATTCGAAACACAAGAGAACGTCTGCCAAAAATATTGAAAATTCCGAAATAAGACACTCGAGTAATTAAACTGTCTAATCAGCTTCTTTAAACTATTTCCAATATGCCTAGAATCGTCTGCACAAGTGTATTGTTACCGGATCACCTATTCTTGATCATTTTTTACGTTGGAATTTTTTCGTAATAACTCATATAACCTTTTAGACAACTGCATGTTACGTATACATAGATAAAACGGTTTTGTCACTTATCTCTACCATCGCACGTGACTAATGAAGTACTATCACATGACCGATAGAGAACTGTCACGTGACTATCGATGACCCGTTCATGATTCATTTCCATGTTAAAAGATATTATTTCATATATGCATTCAAGGCAGTTAAAACAATGGCATTTTCCTTAACGTGATTAATAATTCATTGTTATTCTTCGGAAAGCCATTGAAAGGACTTACATTCAGTATATAATATTGGTTCTTCGCTTCGGTGGCGTTTCTCTGTTTTGCGTAAAGCTATTTCCTCGCATTTTACGTTTCACCTTAACAATTATAGACTGAGAAAATCAATCATTTCTTCGTGACTCATGTATATATATATTCCTCTTTCCCACAACACACTTATAACAGATATATAAAAAATGGGTAAATGGTTATTATGCTATACTGAGGTAAACTGTATTTGATACTGGGGTAAATTGTATGTTATACTGGTATACTTGGGTAAATGATTTGTTATATTGGGGTAAATGATATGTTATAATGGGGTAAATGATATGTTAAACTGGGGTAATTGATATGTTATACTGGGGTAAATGATATGTTATACTGGGGTAATTGATATGTTATACTGGGGTAAATGATATGTTATACTGGGGTAAATGATATGTTATACTGGGGTAAATGATATGTTATACTGGGGTAAATGATATGTTATACTGGGGTAAATGATATGTTATACTGGGGTAAATGATATGTTATACTGGGGTAAATGATATGTTATACTTGGGGTAAATGATATGTTATACTGGGGTAAATGATATGTTATATTGGGGTAAATAATATGTTATACTAGGGTAAATGATATGTTATACTGGGTAAATGATATGTTATACTGGGGTAAATGATATGTTATACTGGGGTAAATGATATGTTATACTTGGGTAAATGATATGTTATACTAGGTAAATGATATGTTATACTGGGGTAAATGATATGTTATACTAGGTAAATAATATGTTATACTTGGGTAAATGATATGTTAAATTGCGGTAAATGATATTTTATACTGGGGTAAATGATATGTTATACTGGGGTAAATAATATGTTAAACTGGGGAAAATGATATGTTATACTGGGGTAAATGATATGTTATATACTGGGGTAAATGATATGTTATATTGGGGTAAATGATATGTTATACTGGGGTAAATGATATGTTATACTGGGGTAAATGATATGTTATACTGGGGTAAATGATATGTTATATTGGGGTTAATGATATGTTATACTAGGATAAATGATATGTTATACTGGGGTAATTGATATGTTATACTGGAGTAAATGATATGTTATACTGGGGTAATTGATATGTTATATTGGGGTAATTGATATGTTATACTGGGGTAAATGATATGTTATACTGGGATAAATGACATGTTATACTGGGGTAAATGATATGTTATACTGGGGTAAATGATATGTTATACTGGTGTTATACTGGGGTAAATGATATGTTATACTGGGGTAAATGATATGTTATACTGGGGTAATTGATATGTTATACTGGGGTAAATGATATGTTATACTGGGATAAATGATATGTTATACTGGGGTAAATGACATGTTATATTGGGGTAAATGATATGTGATACTGGGGTAAATGATATGTTATACTGGGGTAAATGATATGCTATATTGGGGTTAATGATATGTTATACTGGGGTAAATGATATGTTATACTTGGATAAATGTAATGTTATACTGGGGTAAATGATATGTTATACTGGGGTTAATGATATGTTATACTGGGGTAAATGATATGTTATACTTGGATAAATGTAATGTTATACTGGGGTAAATGATATGTTATACTGGGGTAAATGATATGTTATACTGGGGTAAATGATATGTTATATTGGGGTAAATGATATGTTATACTGGGGTAAATGATATGTTATACTGGGGTAAATGATATGTTATACTGGGGTAAATGATATGTTATACTGGGGTAAATGATATGTTATACTGGGGTAAATGATATGTTATACTGGGGTAATTGATATGTGAAACTGGGATAAATGATATGTTATACTGGGGTAAATGATATGTTATACTGGGGTAAATGATATGTTATACTGGGGTAATTGATATGTGAAACTGGGATAAACGATATGTTATACTGGGGTAAATGATATGTTATACTTGGGTAAATAATATGTTATATACTGGGGTAAATAATATGTTATACTGGGGTACATGATATGTTATACTGGGGTAAATGCTATGTTATATTATATTGGGGTAAATGATATGTTATAATGGGGTAATTGATATGTTATACTGGGGTAAATAATATGTTATATTGGGGTAAATGATATGTTATACTGGGGTTAATTGATATGTTATACTGGGGTAATTGATATGTTATACTGGGGTAATTGATATGTTATACTGGGGTAAATGATATGTGATACTGGGGTAAATGATATGTTATACTGGGGTTAATTGATATGTGATACTGGGATAAATGATATGTTATACTGGGGTAAATGACATGTTATACAGAGGTAAATGATATGTTATACTGGGGTAAATGATATGTTATACTGGGGTAAATGATATGTTATACTGGGGTAAATAATATGTTATATTGGGGTAAATGATATGTTATACTGGGGTTAATTGATATGTGATACTGAGATAAATGATATGTTATACTGGGGTAAATGATATGTTATACTGGGGTAAATGATATGTTATACTGGGGTAAATGATATGTTATACTGGGGTAAATGATATGTTTAACTGGGGTAAATGATATGTTATACTGGGGTAAATAATATGTTATATTGGGGTAAATGATATGTTATACTGGGGTAAATGATATGTGATACTGGGATAAATGATATGTTATACTGGGGTTAATTGATATGTGATACTGGGATAAATGATATGTTATACTGGGGTAAATGACATGTTATACTGGGGTAAATGACATGTTATACTGGGGTAAATGATATGTTATACTGGGGTAAATGATATGTTATACTGGGGTAAATGATATGTTATACTGGGGTAAATGATATGTTATACTGGGATAAACGGTATGTTATACTTGGGTAAATGATATGTCATATACTGAGGAAAATGATATGTTATACTGGGGTAAAAATGATCTGTGATACTTGGGTAAATGATATGTTATAATGAGGTAAATGATATGTTATACTGGGGTAAATGATATGTTATACTAGGGTAAATGATATGTTATACTGGGATAAACGATATGTTATACTTGGGTTAATGATATGTTATACTTGGGTTAATAATATGTCATATACTGAGGAAAATGATATGTTTTACTGGGGTAAATGATATGTTATACTGGGATAAACGATATGTTATACTTGGGTTAATGATATGTTATACTTGGGTTAATGATATGTTATATACTGAGGAAAATGATATGTTATACTGGGGTAAATGATCTGTGATACTTGGGTAAATGATATGTTATAATGAGGTAAATGATATGTTATACTGGGGTAATTGATATGTTATACTGGGGTAATTGATATGTTATACTGGGGTAAATAATATGTTATACTGGGGTAAATGATATGTTATACTGGAGTAAATGATATGTTATAAATTGGGGTAAATGCTATGTGATATTGAAGTTAATGATATGTGATACTGGGGTTAATGATATGTTATATACTGAGGAAAATGATATGTTATACTTGGGTAAATGATATGTTATACTGGGGTAAATGATATGTTATACTGGGGTAAATGATATGTTATACTGGGGTAAATGATATGTTATACTGGGATAAACGATATGTTATACTGGGGTAAATAATATGTTATATTGGGGTAAATGACATGTTATACTGGAGTAAATGATATGTTATAAATTGGGGTAAATGCTATGTGATATTGAAGTTAATGATATGTGATACTGGGGTAAATGATATGATATACTGGAGTAAATGATATGTTATAAATTGGGGTAAATGCTATGTGATATTGAAGTTAATGATATGTGATAATGGGGTAAATGATATGTTATACTGGGGTAAATGATATGTTATACTTGGGTAAATGATATGTTATACTGGGGTAAATGATATGTTATACTGGGGTAAATGATATGTTATACTGGGGTAAATGATATGTTATACTGGGATAAACGATATGTTATACTGGGGTAAATAATATGTTATATTGGGGTAAATGACATGTTATACTGGAGTAAATGATATGTTATAAATTGGGGTAAATGCTATGTGATATTGAAGTTAATGATATGTGATACTGGGGTAAATGATATGATATACTGGAGTAAATGATATGTTATAAATTGGGGTAAATGCTATGTGATATTGAAGTTAATGATATGTGATACTGGGGTAAATGATATGTAATACTGGGGTAAATGATATGTTATACTGGGGTAAATGATATGTTATACTGGGGTTAATGATATGTGATACTTGGGTAAATGATATGTTACACTGGGGTAAATGATATGATATACTGGGGTAAATGATATGTTATATTGGGGTAAATGTTATGTTTTATTGGGATAAATGATGTGTTATACTTGGGCAAATGCTTTGTAATATTGGGGTAAAAAATATGTGATACTGGGGTAAATGATATGTTATAATGGGGTAAATGATATGTTATATTGGGGTTAAATGCTATGTTGTACTGGGGTAAATGATATGTTATACTTGGGCAAATGATATGTTATATTGGGGTAAATGATATATTTTACTTGGGTAAAGGATGTTATACTGGGGTAAATGATATGTTATATTGGGGTAAATGATATGTTTTACTGGGGTAAAGGATGTTATACTGGGGTAAATGATATGTTATATTGGGTAAATGATATGTTATACACTGGGATAAATGTTATGTTATGTTATACTGGGGTAAATGATATGTTATATTTGGGTAAATGATATGTTTTACTGGGGTAAATGATATGTTATACTTGGGTA